CCCAGATCACTAGTTCAGAATTACAGTTTAGCGGCATTGTTAATTTTTAGTCAATATAACCAAGAGAGCAAGATACCACTATTCCAAAAACTGCTGTACACCCCTAATCTATACAGTTCATTTATTGTAGCATACAAGGAAGTCACAACTACAGCACAAAAGAACAGAAAGACAAGCTGAAAGCAGTAAATCTCAAAATTCATTTCATGTTAACGGAAAACAGTAAGATGTATACTACACCAAATATATATTGTTACAACTAATACTATTGTTTAATTAAGTGATTACTACCAAAGAAACCCATATCACTAGTTCAGAATTACGGTTTATCAGCAATGTTGATTTTCAGTAAATGTAACCAAGAGAACAAGATACCACTATTCCAAAAACTGCTGTACACCCCTAATCTATACAGTTCATTTATTGTACTACAAAATGAGCACCATGTCATCAAGACAACCTCTTATTAAAGTAGCAAGAATATTTCTTCAGAACATGCTAACAGTCAAGAAAGATCATGTACACTGGTAGCATGCCAACTCAACCATACAGGCCCGAACTCATCCAATTGTCATATGTACAGAACATCTAAAGTTCTGACAAAAAAAACATCACATGGACAGCAACATATATCACACAAGTAATAGGAATTCACAAGAGAAATGTGCTGAATCTTATACCTGATCATCCTTGAGGTAGAGGGTGATCTTAGTACCCCGTCCAAGCTGCTCACCAGAGGTATCACGTGTAACAGTGAAGGACCCACCGGCCTGTGACTCCCACACATACTGCTCGTCGTCGTTGTGCTTGGTGGTCACAACAACCCTCTCAGCAACAAGGTAGGCGGAGTAGAACCCGACACCAAACTGCCCAATCATGGACACATCAGCACCAGCAGCGAGCGCCTCCATGAACTCCTTGGTCCCCGACCTGGCGATGGTACCGAGGTTGTTGACGAGGTCCGACTTGGTCATGCCGACACCACTGTCGATGATCGACAGGGTGTTGCTAGCCTTGTCGGGGACAATGTGGATGAACAGCTCCGGCTGCGCATCGAGCTTGCTCTTGTCCGTGAGGCTCTCGAACCTAATCTTATCCAATGCCTGCAGAAACCACACACACCCATGTCACATCGAATTCATCACCCAAACACACAGATCTGTAAAAGCATCAGCACACTACCACACTATACAGATTACACGCACGGGTAAACACACAACCCTCGCTGATTTGTAACAAGTTTATGCTAGTGCTCAGATGTGGCCATATTCACATTTCGATGAGTAAAACAAACAAATAAACTAGCACAAACTCTACAAATCACGAGTCAACGCTCACACCTCATTGATTTGAAACAGGTCTACGCCCTATCAGTATATGATCCTCAGATGCCGTCACGCTCACAGATCGACGCGTACAACAACAGCAAAGAGCACATAAGCAAGCACCGATTTCGATTCCTCGACGAGAGGGGATTAATTTCGGGGGCGGCGCAAACTTACATCGGAGGAGTTGGAGATGAGCTCGCGGAGGAAGATCTCCTTGTTGGAGTAGAAGGTGTTGATGATGAGGGACAGCAGCTGGTTGATCTCGGCCTGGAAGGCGAACGTCTCGGTCTCCGACGCCATGGCCGCGCGCCTTGCGTGCTCCTGATCTCTCGCCGGCGGGAAGAGGAGCTCGCGGGCGGAGGAGACGACGCGCGGCTGCGGCTGCGGCTGCGGCGGCGGCTAGGGTTAGGAGAGGGTTTTGAGAGGGCGAGATCGTGGGGGTGGGAGATGCTTTTATGCGGTCCTCGTTGTTCTCGAACCTTCTACGTGGGCCTAGAAGCCGGCGAGGCCGCAGCGCGTGTTGACTAGTCGTTGCGGGTGGGCCAGGCCGGACCGGCAGTGAGATTTTGCGCGTGATTAGGTGTAGTGGGCGTATAGAAGGCCATAAAATTCTGAAGAAAATGAGGCCCATAAAGCCCATGAAGACAAGCGAGGGTCCAGTGGCCCGTAAAGCCCATGAAAACAAACTAGGATCAAGTCGCCAATGAAGTCTATGAAAACAAGCTATGAAGCGCATTCAAGACAGTAGAGGGTCCAGTCGCCGGCGAAGCCCATGGAAAGAAAGGGAGGGTCAAGAGGAGAGATTTGATAATTTAACCCTTTTCAAAATGGGTTTCGATTATTAGATTCTAAACCACTTTAATCCACTCAGATAGTCCCACGTGAAGTTGGAGATGGATATTTGCAAATAAACCCCTTCTACTATTATAGGCATGTTCAGATTGTAGCCAAAATAAACCTTACCAAGTTTTGGCAATACCAAAATTTTAACAAGATGGCAATATTGCCAACATTTTGGCAGGATTTCTTATGTATTGACCAAATTTGGTAACAAACTAAACGTATATATTTTTTGGCAACTTTGACAAAAAAAATGGTATGGTTGAAAATGGCATCAAAATGAACAGGCCCTATGTGTTCAAGAGTATTAGTTGGATACTTCCGGCCTCATCGGTTACTCATATTTTCTAATAAGCCATTTTGGTTCATTAGATAATAAAAAACTAATTTATTGGTAAAACTTTTTATACATGTGTTCTTAACGATTTAAAAGTCGATGCTGAAAAAAAAACTATGTTGAAAAAAATCTTTAAATCAACTTCAAAATTAAGTTTAAAAATTCAAATTTTATCTTTTGCTTTGGCTTATTAAGGCAACCGATGGGGCTCTTCTTCTTTCTGTACAGAAAACAATATAGTTCATTAGCACATGATTAAATATTAGTAAAAGAATAAAAATAGATTAATATGATTTTAAAAATTCAACTTTTCTATAGTAAATTTTTTTAAGAAAAACACAATGTTTAGTTGTTGAAGAAATATGCATGAAAAACAAGGGAGTAAAAAGTGGAAAAGTGGTGTTTCTACCCTTCAACCAGATGCAGCCATGCAGGTCATCTGCAATATTGTACATGCAATATTGCTCACTGACATGTGAACCCCATAGCCTCTCGGGCTCACATGTAAGTGAGCAGTACTGCTCAATTGTCCTTCAACCATCCTGTGGTCAGCACCACAAATGGACGGAACGAGAGATCGTGCGGTTGCACATGATTTAACGCCTTAATTAACTACTCCAAGATATTAACCGCACTAATGTCCTGCACCTGTGTTTGACTCGAGAGGGTAATTAGCGTGGACGTCACTAATGATGGTCGTCGTCTACTCGTCTTTCGTACTCAGTGCGATCGATGAAGTGACAGTAAATGTTAGCTAGCCATGCACTTTGTACAGTTTCTTCGCCCATTTCTGCACGCGGCTGACTGACCAGATGCAATGCACTTGTACACGTTTGGTAGGCCGTCTTCGATCCATTCCCGGTTAATCAAATGATATATGTAATTATGTATATCTTCTCTTGTATATATGCAGCATGCTAGTATAATGTTAGGTACAGTTCTTTTGGGTTATTTTTTTTATCTCGATTTTGTCATGGCAACTACGAGCAAACGCTGCTTTTCCTGCTTGTCCTACGAGCCTGAACAAACGGCAGGATGTTGCACAAAGTGACAGTCCTTGTTAGGTTTCTGCTCTTCTGCACTGCACTATCCATTTGCAAATATTTTGCATGGAAGCTAGCAGAAAATGCTATGTGTTGTTCATGAGTCTAATCAAAGTTAATTAATCAAATCTGATGCTGTCTAAGGAGCATATTGGAATGCATCAATCATATGAGTGTGTGTAACTTATTGGTGCCCTTTGTGTGCCAATGTCTCATCCTCTGTCATGTTCTCAATGTATCAACGCTGTAACTTCTCAAGAATCAATGTTTATGTACTACTACTACAACTACATAGTTTAACTAACTCCTAACCAGGGCTAAACTGAACCAACTAAACAATTACGGAGTATTACTGAACAACAAGAACAGCGCTTAATTAGCAATGCGCGTTTCGTTTCATCTCACGCAGCAATGACACACGCTTGCAACGCACCAGCTGTGTTTGTGATCACTTTGTCAGTGCATCAGCAAATCGAGCACTGCATGCATACGCATTTCCTGCTTTCTGGCGTGGTGGAGGCAGGAAAGCAACCTCCAACATATCAGCATTCACCACCCAATATATTACACAATTTGTGACACAGGTCGGTCTCTCTGCCTGCCTTTCGGAACGGGAAGAGGTGTCATTTTCCTATGCCCATTTCGATCGTAGCCAAATTGATCTAGATTTGAAATAAATTATATATATATATATATATATATATATATATATATATATGGCAACGTAATCCTTCTGTTTTAAAATATAAGCATTTCGCATTCAGGTTCCAATGGGCAAGAATTCAAGCATTCTAATCAATCAGGTGCTTATACGGTGAATCCAGACAATTCGAAATTTGACCGGAATTCTTTTTTCTTATCCTTTATCTTTGCTAAACATCATAGGAACATTTACATTTAGAGCGATGCTGGGGATCCACTTAATTTAAGTGGCTCCGACTTGACGTACGACTGATCTAAACGGCAATTTACGCTCAGTCTGTGTTTAGTTCCACACTAAAATTAGAAGTTTAAAAAAATAGGAATGATGTGATGGAAAAGTTGAAAATTTGCGTACGTAGGAAAGTTCGATGTGATAAAAAAATTAGAAGTTTGAAAAAAAAGTTGAAATCTAAACAGGGCCTCCGTAGTGCGCGTGTTCGTGCTCGTGCAATCAAGTTGGATCGAGTTGGGAGTTGGAGTTGACAGTTCGTCACTAGCTCGATCGCTAGTCGTCGCCGTGTGTGTAATGCCATGGTGCTCCTTGATCGGACGCCGGCTAGTAGCTAGCCAGCAGCGTGTGTGGCGAACAACCTAATCTTTTTCCTTCGCACGGGCGGCCGGCTGACGGCGACGAGCCGCCGACGACGAGGAGGACGACTTTGACGCCCGCGTGTGGTGTGGACCAGGGCACCAACAGCAGTGGTGGTTTATGCGTTGCCAACTACTGACGAGATGCTATATAAGCAGCAGCAATGGCCATCGCTTCAGCTGCACGGACAAATTAAGCGAGGGAGTGAGAGCTAGCTAACTCAGGCTCAGCCAACTGATCGCGAGCTGTGACGAGGTGATCACCATGGCGTCCTCGTCGTCGCTTCTTGTTCGTGGGAGAGCGTTCGCGCTGGTTGTGGCTGTAGCTCTGGTGGCTGCTCCTCGCCGGATTAATGGCGGCGCCGCCGGGCCGGCGGCGAGGACGAACGACCCCAACTGGCACGTCTTCAGCGTCAGCTCGCTGCTGCCGAGCTCGGCCTGCACTGCATCGAAAGGTAGTGTCAGTTTTGCAGCCTGTCTCCTTTCGCAACTGTATCTGAAACTGAAGCAGTTACTGCGGAAAAATAATGTAACCTGGTCGGCCATTAACCATCTCGATCGAACTTGCTTTATATAAATCTCGTCCATTTGATCAAACTGAGGAATTGAAAAACCCAATAAGAAATCTGTTAGGCCAATTTGGAGTATGGTTAGTCTGTATCCTGCAAACAAGTATTGTGACTGAAGTAGCATCTGCATTATTCTGAAATTTTAGTACCACTGAAACTCAGCTACCGTGATAGCATATGCAGCATATATCGAATTTATAAGATATTCTAAGGGAAACATAATATGTTTTACAGTAGTATTGATCAGAATTACATCAGGTAATCTGTTGCTGATTGATGCGAGTAAACTTTTGGCATGCTGATGACTGATCACTACACAAAATTTTCAGTGCAGTAAAAAGCTTTGGGGCGGTTCAGATTAAAGCCATTTTTAACCATACCATTTTTTTTAAGTTGTCAAAAAATATATACGTTTAGTTTATTGCCAAATATGATAAATAAATAAATAATCCTACTAAAATTTTAGCAATACTACCATCTTACCATCTTGCCAAAATTTGGTAAGATTTATTTTAGCTACAATCTGAACATTCCCTTTCTTTGCTTCGAGTTGCATTTGCACAAATTGCATTTCTCATTTTCCCATTCTGTTTTTCTTGCAGCGGCGTCCAACTCGTCGGCTCTCGGCGTCGTGCACCGGCACGGGCCGTGCTCGCCGGTGCAGGCTCGTCCTCGCGGCGGCGGCGGCGCTGTCACCCACGCCGAGATCCTGGAACGCGACCAGGCCAGGGTCGACTCCATCCACCGCAAGGTCGCCGGCGCCGGGGGCGCGCCGTCGGTGGTCGACCCGGCACGCGCCTCGGAGCAGGGCGTGTCGCTGCCGGCGCAGAGGGGCATCTCCCTCGGCACCGGCAACTACGTCGTGTCCGTCGGGCTCGGGACGCCGGCGAAGCAGTACGCCGTGATCTTCGACACCGGCAGCGACCTGTCGTGGGTGCAGTGCAAGCCCTGCGCCGACTGCTACGAGCAGCAGGACCCGCTGTTCGACCCGTCGCTGTCGTCGACGTACGCCGCCGTGGCGTGCGGCGCGCCGGAGTGCCAGGAGCTCGACGCGTCGGGCTGCTCGTCGGACAGCAGGTGCCGGTACGAGGTCCAGTACGGCGACCAGTCGCAGACCGACGGCAACCTCGTGCGCGACACGCTGACGCTCTCGGCGTCGGACACGCTCCCGGGCTTCGTCTTCGGGTGCGGCGACCAGAACGCCGGGCTGTTCGGCCAGGTCGACGGGCTGTTCGGCCTCGGCAGGGAGAAGGTGTCGCTGCCGTCGCAGGGCGCGCCGAGCTACGGCCCCGGATTCACCTACTGCCTACCGTCGTCGTCGAGCGGCAGGGGCTACCTGTCCCTCGGCGGCGCCCCGCCGGCGAACGCGCAGTTCACGGCGCTGGCCGACGGCGCGACGCCGTCGTTCTACTACATCGACCTCGTCGGCATCAAGGTCGGCGGCCGCGCGATCAGGATCCCGGCGACGGCGTTCGCGGCGGCCGGCGGCACGGTGATCGACTCCGGCACGGTGATCACCCGCCTCCCGCCGCGCGCGTACGCGCCGCTCCGCGCGGCGTTCGCGCGCTCCATGGCGCAGTACAAGAAGGCGCCCGCGCTGTCCATCCTCGACACGTGCTACGACTTCACCGGCCACCGGACGGCGCAGATACCCACGGTGGAGCTGGCGTTCGCCGGCGGCGCCACCGTCAGCCTCGACTTCACCGGCGTGCTCTACGTCTCCAAGGTGTCGCAGGCGTGCCTGGCGTTCGCGCCCAACGCCGACGACTCGTCCATCGCCATCCTCGGGAACACGCAGCAGAAGACGTTCGCCGTCGCGTACGACGTTGCCAACCAGAGGATCGGCTTCGGCGCCAAGGGATGCAGCTGATTACAATCCGAGATGATGAATCAATCGATCATTTTGTTTTGTTACAGTGACATATATATGGGGAAAAAATAGTGAAAAAAAACTGCAATAAATAAGCATCATCGATAGTGACATGGAAGAAGTTGAAAACCGTTAAAAATATTTTTGATGCAAACCAGTTCGGGCTAGTAACAGTATTACAGTGTGCCTGATAGTAGCACATTTCAGGCTTTATTTAATTATTTTTTTATCACTCTCTGGACACTGAACAGTGAACACTATACTACCACAAGAGGCAGCAGCTCACACAGTGAAAACCGAAAAGATGTTACGGTGGTTTATGGTACGAGTGTAAGTGGCGTGAAATCCACTTGTAGGCTAAAATAAACCGCAAATCCACTTATAAATTAAAATAAGTGGGTTCGCGGCTCACCGACCAACACCCATAGTCTACCCACTTACACCGTCTATGGCACGCCATGGTGATTGATGGCGTCGGTGGCGGTGTCAACGCGGCCGGTGCCGGCGGCGGCAGCGGCGGTGTCGCCTTGTTGGTGGCGGCGCTGTGTGGCGACGGGGACGGCGGTGCCGGGGATGGTGGGGGCGTCGGTGCCGCAGCCGCCGTGGGGGACGTCGGAGACGGGGAGGTGGCCGCGGGCGCCGTAGGCGCGCAGCTTGTAGTCCTCCAGGCCGTCGTCCTTCTTGTACTGCACGTACGGGCTGGTGTCCATCGGCAGCTGCACCGTGTCGCCGGCGTCCGGCTTCCTCTGCTGCTGCTGCTGCTGGGTCTCCTTGGTTGCCTCCATTGCAAGTCCTCCGCTTGATCTGCAGCAAGAGTGCAGCCTTGTTTCTCTGAATGTGTACTTGACCTGGTAGTATCCAACACTGTTTATAATGGATGTTGCTTTTGGCCTACTACTAGTAGAATCCAAGACTAGTTTTATGTGTGTGGATAGAGCTAGGGATTCGGGTTTCATGGCCACCTCGCCATGGCAGTGCACCAGGTGTCAAGCAGAGGAAGTACTCACGACGGGCAATCGACACGTACCTCTAACCTCTGCCTCCGATCCGATACAGATGCACGTGAGCTCAGCCAGCAGATCAGCCGACACGTACCTCACGATGTCCTCACAACGCAAAAACGCATATGTGCTCCATCTCTCAACCGGCGGATCAGTTCGTCAGTTGGGTTTGTGCTAGAGCGGAGGGGCAGAAATTACTGGTCCACTACTACTAAGTAGTACTCGAGGTCGACCAAAGATGATTGAAACAACGAAAAGATGATTGAAACGGAAACAGAAAGCTCTCGAGGTCGACCAAAGATGATTGAAACAACGAAATTCCCTGCAGATGGTTAATTGATCAAAGCAAGAAGACATTCGAGGCATTCTATCTTGCAGGCATCAACAGTGAACAAACATTCCATCACTCATTCAAACTAAATAGCCTTGTACTAACAAATTGAAGTTCAAGAATACTGCAGGCTAAAAATGGTCCATCATTCCATCAATTTGCAGCAACCAGGCATACTAAGCTTACCATCCACTATCTAGCCATACAATAACAGATGGAAGAAGTTCCAGCATACTGCGGGCAAACAATGGTCCATCATTCCATCAATTTGCAGCAACCAGGCTTATTAGGAAGAAGTTCCAGAATACTGGTCGGGCTGCTCACAACAGCTACTTGGAATACTCAAGTTCAAGATGGAAATTGGCACACTCCAAGGGATTCAGCCAACATAATTTGATAAAAAAAGACGTTATAAGTATGAATAAGAAGCTGGCATATACTTCGGCTAGTAGCATTGCAACGCAAACAGTATGACAAGGTACCACGCATTGTTTAAGAGCTAAGACAAAGACAAAACTGATGCATCCAACGTACCAAAAAGAAAGCGAACAGCAGCAGTCAGATAGCTATGAGAAGAGAACTAGGAGAGGGATAACTAGAAGGGACAGAATGGCATCCATGGGTCCATGACGTTTAGTCGACCTCCTCCATCTTGCTCTCGCCGGCGTCGTCCTCCAGCGGCGGCATGTCGGCGTCAGCCTCGGCGGACTCGTCCTCGTCGATGCTCAGGCCGAGCTTGAGCATGCGGTGGATCCTGGTGCCGAAGGTGTTGGGGTCCTCCAAGCTGAAACCGGAGGTCAGCAGGGCAGTCTCGAAGAGCAGCATCACCAGGTCCTTCACGGACTTGTCATTCTTGTCCGCATCGGCACGCTTGCGGAGCTCGTCCATGATGGCATTCTCCGGGTTGATCTCCATGGTCTTCTTGCTAGACATGTAGCCGGCCATGCTGGAGTCCCTCAGAGCCTGGGCCTTCATGATCCTCTCCATGTTAGCAGTCCAGCCATACTCCCCAGTGACTAGACAGCAGGGAGAGTCCACCACACGGTCAGAGACAACAACCTTCTCCACCTTGTCACCGAGCACCTCCTTGATCACCTTGCACAGACCCTCGAACTTCTCCTTGAGTTCCTCCTGCCGCTTCTTCTCGTCCTCACTCTCATCAAGCTTCAGACCTTCCTTGGTGGCAGAGACGAGCTTCTTGCCTTCAAACTCCTTAAGCTGACCAACAGCGTACTCATCAATGGCATCAACCATGTACAGGACCTCATAACCCTTCTTCTTCAGCTTCTCGAGGAAGGGGGAGTTCTCAACAGCCTTCTTGCTCTCACCAGTGATGTAATAGATCTCACTCTGGCCCTCCTTCATCCGGGTTACGTAGTCCTTGAGGCTGGTCAACTCATCACCACTCTTGGTGGAGTGATACCTCAGGAGCTCAGCAATCTTGGTCCTGTTGGTGGAATCCTCATGGATGCCAAGCTTGAGATTCTTGGAGAAAGCCTCGTAGAACTTGTTGTAGTCTTCCTTGTTCTCAGCGATCTCAAAGAAGAGCTCCACGCACTTCTTCACAAGGTTCTTGCGGATCACCTTCAGGATCTTGTTCTGCTGGAGCATCTCACGTGAGATGTTGAGGGGAAGGTCTTCAGAATCAACAATGCCCTTGACAAAGCTGAGCCACTCTGGGATCAACTCCTCACAGTTGTCCATGATAAACACCCGGCGTACGTACAGCTTGATGTTGTTTTGCTTCTTCCTGGTGTCAAAGAGGTCAAATGGCGCTCTCTTTGGTACAAACAGGATGGCCTTGAATTCAAGCTGACCCTCCACAGAGAAGTGCTTGACAGCCAGATGTTCCTCCCAGTCGTTTGTCAAGCTCTTGTAGAAAGCAGCGTACTCTTCCTTGGTGATCTCCTCTGGCTTCCTCAACCAAATGGGTTTCTGCTTGTTCATCACGTTCCACTCGTGAGAGACTTCCTTGATCTTCTTCTTTTTCTTCTCTTTCTCTTCCTTCTCCTCATCAACATCCTCAACCTTTCCCTCCTCAGCATCCTTCTTCTCTTCCTCGTCTTCATCATCAGAAATCTCCTTCTCAGTTGTCTTCTCAGTCCATAGGGAGATAGGGTAGCTGATGAACTCAGAATGCTTCTTCACCAGATCCTTGAGGCGACGCTCCTCAAGGTATTCCAGCTGCAAGCAAAAATTGCAGTTGTTTATTAAACAACAAACAGCAAGAGAACACAAGAGACAAGAAACAAAACAAACAATACAAGTATTTATTTCAACAAGGTGTTATGCTGCTATGCATTCTGATAAGAACATTGGGACAAACGATATACTCCCTCCGTTTCGAAATGTTTGACGCCGTTGACTTTTTAGCACATGTTTGACCGTTCGTCTTATTCAAAAAAATTAAGTAATTATTAATTCTTTTCCTATCATTTGATTCATTGTTAAATATATTTTTGTGTAGGCATATAATTTTACATATCTCACAAAAGTTTTTGAATAAGACGAACGGTCAAACATGTGCTAAAAAAGTCAACGGTGTCAAACATTTCAAAACGAAGGGAGTATATAAATTGATTAGCAGAATACAACAACAAAGACAGACCATAACTATGTAACAATGTTAGCATACAAGGAAGTCATAACTACAGCACAAAAGAACAGAGACAAGCTGAAAAGCAGTAAATCTCAAAATTCATTTCATGTTAATGGAAAACAGTAAGATGTATACAACTAAATCTCAAAATTCATTTCATATTAATGGAAAACAGTAAGATGTATACAACAGCAAATATGCATTGTTACAACTAATACTATTGCTTCATTAAGTGATTACTACCGAGGAAACCCAGATCACTAGTTCAGAATTACAGTTTAGCGGCATTGTTAATTTTTAGTCAATATAACCAAGAGAGCAAGATACCACTATTCCAAAAACTGCTGTACACCCCTAATCTATACAGTTCATTTATTGTAGCATACAAGGAAGTCACAACTACAGCACAAAAGAACAGAAAGACAAGCTGAAAGCAGTAAATCTCAAAATTCATTTCATGTTAACGGAAAACAGTAAGATGTATACTACACCAAATATATATTGTTACAACTAATACTATTGTTTAATTAAGTGATTACTACCAAAGAAACCCATATCACTAGTTCAGAATTACGGTTTATCAGCAATGTTGATTTTCAGTAAATGTAACCAAGAGAACAAGATACCACTATTCCAAAAACTGCTGTACACCCCTAATCTATACAGTTCATTTATTGTACTACAAAATGAGCACCATGTCATCAAGACAACCTCTTATTAAAGTAGCAAGAATATTTCTTCAGAACATGCTAACAGTCAAGAAAGATCATGTACACTGGTAGCATGCCAACTCAACCATACAGGCCCGAACTCATCCAATTGTCATATGTACAGAACATCTAAAGTTCTGACAAAAAAAACATCACATGGACAGCAACATATATCACACAAGTAATAGGAATTCACAAGAGAAATGTGCTGAATCTTATACCTGATCATCCTTGAGGTAGAGGGTGATCTTAGTACCCCGTCCAAGCTGCTCACCAGAGGTATCACGTGTAACAGTGAAGGACCCACCGGCCTGTGACTCCCACACATACTGCTCGTCGTCGTTGTGCTTGGTGGTCACAACAACCCTCTCAGCAACAAGGTAGGCGGAGTAGAACCCGACACCAAACTGCCCAATCATGGACACATCAGCACCAGCAGCGAGCGCCTCCATGAACTCCTTGGTCCCCGACCTGGCGATGGTACCGAGGTTGTTGACGAGGTCCGACTTGGTCATGCCGACACCACTGTCGATGATCGACAGGGTGTTGCTAGCCTTGTCGGGGACAATGTGGATGAACAGCTCCGGCTGCGCATCGAGCTTGCTCTTGTCCGTGAGGCTCTCGAACCTAATCTTATCCAATGCCTGCAGAAACCACACACACCCATGTCACATCGAATTCATCACCCAAACACACAGATCTGTAAAAGCATCAGCACACTACCACACTATACAGATTACACGCACGGGTAAACACACAACCCTCGCTGATTTGTAACAAGTTTATGCTAGTGCTCAGATGTGGCCATATTCACATTTCGATGAGTAAAACAAACAAATAAACTAGCACAAACTCTACAAATCACGAGTCAACGCTCACACCTCATTGATTTGAAACAGGTCTACGCCCTATCAGTATATGATCCTCAGATGCCGTCACGCTCACAGATCGACGCGTACAACAACAGCAAAGAGCACATAAGCAAGCACCGATTTCGATTCCTCGACGAGAGGGGATTAATTTCGGGGGCGGCGCAAACTTACATCGGAGGAGTTGGAGATGAGCTCGCGGAGGAAGATCTCCTTGTTGGAGTAGAAGGTGTTGATGATGAGGGACAGCAGCTGGTTGATCTCGGCCTGGAAGGCGAACGTCTCGGTCTCCGACGCCATGGCTTCCTCCTCCTGTGCTCCTGAGATCTCGGGGGCGTGGAGAGGACGAGAAGAAACGAGAGGCGGCTAGGGTTTGGAGGGGTTTCCAAGAGGACGCGAGATGGAAGAGGAGGGAGAGTATTTAAGGGATCCTGTGGTTCTAGAAGCATCTACACGAACCTAGAAGCCGGCGAGGCCGTAGTGGCCCTTGACTAAGTTGCTGCTGGGCCTTTTCTCGGGGAAGTCACGGGCCTTCAATAATCTGTGATCCGCTAGGAATAAGTCCACTTGCTGTCCCTCAGCTTTACGTCGATTTTCAGTTGGCATTCCTAAACTGCAGTACAATAAATGATTTTTGCAAAACCATTCAAACCAGATCATAAGGCAGCAGGAGGCATCGTAGTCAGAAAAAAAATGATTCTAAGGTTTTCATAGGTTATGTATGATACCATTGACCTTTTGAGATACATTTGACCATTCGTCTTATTAAAGAAAATGTAATTATTACTTATTTTATTGTGAGTTGATTTATCATTGAATATTCTTTAAGGATGACTTAAATATTTTTATATTTTCTTAAAAATATTGAATAAGACGAATGATCAACGTTGATTAAAAATCAACAACGTCAAGGGAGTAGTATATGCCCTCTGCATCTCTAATTCTAGTACTTGATTTGGCGAAATATTCCTACTTCCTTTGATCTCCTCTCTCCTCTACTTTGCAGGTTCTACATCATGAGGTTGGAGGAGTGACCGCTCAAGTTCTGGACGATCACCCACCACGCAACGTGCCCCGGTGCCTTTGGCTCGATGGGGTTGTTTAGATTGTAGCCAAAATAAACCTTATCAATTTTTGGTAATTTGGCAATATTGTCAAATTTTTTGTAGGTTTTCTTGTGTATTTACCAAAGTTTGACAAGAAACTAAATGGATGCACATATCTAACAACTCTATCAAAAAAAAATTGTATGGTTTGAAATGACATCAATCTGAACAAACCCCATGCCTCTATCGGCGACGAAGATTGGTACCTCGGCGTGGCAAGCCCTCGACCATGAAGGATGGGGCACACGAGCAGGGCGGTGATGGGAGGCCTCCACCGCCATGGCGCACTCACAAAGCATGTCATGCCTGCCCAAGATGGCAAGATCGACACCGTGGCGACGCTGAACGACCTAAGCATGCTGGACATGCAGGTGATGGCGGAGGAGAAGAGCGGGCACTGGTGGTTCGTGGGAGGTGGTCCACTGGTACCTCATGCAGATGGGCTCGTCGGCTGCCAGCCCTCTCTCCGCCGGCAAGCTGCGAGGGAAGAGAGGGGAGAGGAAGAGAGATGGGGAAGAGAGGGAAGAGGTGAGGAGTCAACTTACATGTGAGGCCACATCAGCCAAAACAGACATCTATATTATCTTAGAACTTGACTTGAACGGTCTTGCAAAGATAAAAGAGTGAAGAGTATAGTATTGCAATTTAGGGATGCCAAATAAACTCGATGTAAAGATGAGGAACAACAAACGAACTTATTCCAATCCGCTATGGAAGCTGATGGAAATTGGAAATTTGGGAATATTCGGTGCTAGGCCATATAAAAGAAACATTTGTACTTCTTATAGATTTCTTAATATTAAAAACAATCAAATCAAATATGAAAACATATAAAATCATCAAATTAAGGCAAAAAGAAAAAAGGATGTGTAACACATTTTATAGAAAAAAATATTTTTAATTTATTTTAGACTATATTGTAAAATATTTTGACGTGACAGGAACTCTTGGTTAAGATATATTAGGGGGAAAAAAACATAAGTGGGGTTATTGTGACCGGAAGCCAAGTGCACGTTTGGAATAGAAATTTTTGCAGGAATTAATTAGGGTAAAATTCCCCAGAAAATCAACCAAAACATGCCTTGAAGCTACATCCTAGTATTCTCATAGGCTGATTCTACATAACTAGACGAAAAGCAATACTGTCAAGTTTCATCACTGAACTCCATGAAGATGCATGGCAACAGATCAAAAATAGGATTAGAGCAAAAGTGCCTTCATCAAACTTCATCGTTAAAGAAAGCAGATAACCTAGCGAATCTTACATTCCCACCTATGATCCTCTTTACTTACATACATGTCGAACTATCCTAGTGTGTGACGTATACATGGCTGATGGCTCAAACATTTGCTCTTGATTGGAATGCGCAGCTCTTGAAAAATTTTCGTGCGTCATGTTTGCATTCAATAATCATGAGTTCATGATCCTCCAAATCTGCAGGACCTCTACATATCCTCATTCCTCAATGATTCATCTGCTTGTTTTACCAGAACATATAGTTATTTACCAGGAATAAATGCTGAACGGAAAAGGATGGAGAAAAAAGTAAGCCAATACTGCTTTGCCTCTGATGAGGGAAAGCATCTTTGATATTGCTTGACTATAAAGTTAAGAGAAAGATGGAATGCAGGTTTGGTCTTACTGATAATATCCTCATCGCCGTCACTGTTATCGTCCTCGTTTTGAGAGGTAAAAATGGGAGTAAGGTAATGCTTGTCCAGTAAAGCGAAAGAAGAGGTGCTGTAATGGCAGGAAAATATATTTAAGCGATTAGGAGATCACCTGCTCCTCAGCAATACTACATAATAAATTATAGAAAAGTACCACTCTGCAACTAAAGGCTACTACTGGTTGGTACTTTAACACAATGAAATTTTTTAATGAAAAGTTCATCATTTTAGAAATCAAACTAAAGAAGAGCAATGAGTAGATACAACTTCAATATCAAATGTGAACTGCTGTACCTTCTCTGGAGCTCTTTGAGTTTCATTGTGAAATTGCTTGATGTTGATGTTTCTTCCCCGTAACGTTGCCCAGGGTAGCCAGCATTGTTCCCATCAAAGTTATGCTGCATATTGTAAGTACAGCATCAATAACTGGCAAACCACCGGAATGCTATGGTGTTAATCCATGAGCTGTAAGAAAGATAAACAAGGACGGATAGTAGCTACATAGTTAGGGTGCATATGGCATTCAGCAACACCAACGGTCCGTTAGTAAGTGCTCTTATTGAATAAATAATAACCCATGATGATCATTTAAGCATAACTATTATCTGGTTTTTTGTACGTAGAACAAGCAGGTTGCACCTCAAGAGAGAACCAATTAGTTTTTTTTTTAAAAAAAGGAATAGATCTAATTCATTATGAACAAGAAAACAGAAAAAAAATCGTGACCATCCAAAGATTGTGTGTAATACCTATCTATCCAAATAAGCCCTATGGGGAGAGTGCATGGAATGCAATGGAATTGCATCCTCCATAGAACTGCAATGTCATTTGATATTTAGGCTGAGAATGTCCAGCAAATAAATAAGATTGCGTTGTTTAACTAACCTAATGGCAAACAAAGAGAAATATAATGTTTTTTGCATGTACTTATGATACGCGGTGTAAGTACTTGCCTCATATGGATGGCGATAGCGATTACTATCCCCAACTACTTGCAGGGATTCAAGCATTGTTCCAGTTGAGCCTCCAATTAGAAGCACCTGCAATGTTTGCATAAAAAGACATTTAGAATGATTCATAGAATAGCATGAACTGATACATACAAAATCCTTTGCATAAAAATAGTCGTGGCTATTATGTAACATCACAAGAATTACAACCGGTAACCTACAGTTAGAACAACAATAGATGTGGTAGCGGTGAAAATTGTCTCGCCATGTCCTTCAGGAAGATCATGAATAGACTGAAGTGCAAGGGCAAAAGCCATTGCCCCCCTAAGACCTGAAAAAGAAAAAACCAACAATATTAGCAGTACAAACATGAAACTTATTTTATGACATTTTTGGGCATACATAATTACATACCACTATACCAGAGTGCCAGCTGATACTGCCTAGGTATTTGGCAGTGCACCGGTCGTGCCAAATTTAATATATATGCACAAGAGAAGACATTTGCGGCCCTTTAAAATAAGATAATATCAGAAAATCGGCACAATTATATAGCTATGGGGCTTAAGCTTGTATAAATACACAGAAAGCATCTCCAAAAACTCAGCAACTAGTCCAACATCAGACCAAAAGATAGACAGTTCCGTTGGAGAAGAAAATACCTTGCAAGTAATATAAAGATCTGGATGCATAAGCAAAAGGGAAAAAAATTAAGGAAACAAGAAGAAATTATTGTATTCGTAACAAGCATGGGTAAGAGTTGGTGTGTAATCAATGCGAAGGATACAACTGAGAAAAAAATGAATCCAATATGTGACCAGCTTTGACGCTCCATCGCAATATCAAATCCCATGTATATGAACCTGTGTAAATGCATTACAGTTTCAGTATTTGGACTTGTTAAATTATTGCACTTGAAGGTCTTGCTTACACGAAAGCCTCTGCTAGTGATGAAAGTAGATGGAAAAAACGAGCTGTAAAACGCTGAGAATCTTCTGATAAGTTATAGAAGGTGTATCTCTTCATAACCTGAAATAAAAATTCACTTCTTGTAAGCATGTTTATAATATCTTCCTGCAAAGTTGCTTATCTATAATATGTAATAAGAATAAAATCTAGAGAAAATATTGTCACAGGCTAACTTACAATTCCAGTAAACAGAATAGAGACAATACCAGACAAACCAAAGCCTTCAGCTAGCATGTACCTACAAACAACTGGCAATTATTTACAGCAGATATTTAAAGAGAACATGAAATGGAACAAATTTCAAAGATAGGCTTACGAGAAGTAAGGGAAAAGGACAAACAAGCAACTCTCCAGATTATGAAGGCTGGAAGTGAAAAAAAAAATAAATTAGCAGTTTATGTGTGGGGTACTAGTTTGGGCAAATCGGAATGTACTTACTTCTCAACACCTAGAGCTGCATACTTGAAGAGGTTTGATAGAATTAAGGACTGACAATTGAGTCTCAACGGGGATAACATAATATAAGCAAAAATGAAGTTCAAAAAATGCATTTGTTTTGTTTTTGCAAGAATTTTTTAAAATTTTCTTTTTCGACTTATTGTCGTTGGCAATGAAGTTGTTGATCTGGCCATGTACATAGCCTAAATATTGTTGCATGGTGGGGGTTGCCTTTTTTGTTCTCCAGAGTAAATGGAAAACGTTTGTAAATAGACCAAAAAGATGATTACACGTTAAACATATTGAATTTTCTTGTCAACCCTGGAAAGGTAATGCTCAAGGCATGCAACAATAACATATTGGTTTCTAAGAGGATCCAGCAGGAGTATTCTAAGTTTTGATAGCAAAAAGTGGGAATTCAGGATGATTACATAGACTAAACCCCTCTGAGAGAGTAGCATTTAACTCTTTGCTTGAACTTTTGTAATTGTTTCCTCCTTTTCAATTTAATAAATCTTTAACTGTGGGGGCTTCCCCTACAGTGTTTTGGAACAAAAATAAATTTTCAGGAGGGTGCAAACAGGTATACATTTCTTTACAGATATTAAACTAATTTAATATATGTTATAAAAAACTAGGTGATACCATCACATACATGTAACAAGTTTATCAGTTTTACTTTGTGTAAATAAAAAATATACATTAGGTCTCTACTGATAGAAAATGTCAAAATAAAGGATATGAGGGCAGAAATGAATCCAACCCCAACACCTGCACATAAAAAAATGGAATTGAAATATCAAATGTTAAAGTACAAATAGATACTCATATATAATCATAAGTGCAAGCGAAGTCAAGAAATCCAATGGAAAAAGCAAAATACATAGGCGACTCGAAATTTCTTCTGCTAAAGGCATTTGTAAATATTTAAGGTACAGTACCTGATGACATTGAACCAACAAAATTCTCAAGAAACTTAAGGATAGCTAGAAAATAGTTCTGTCCAGAAGAACTTGTTCTCAGTGAAGCCATACTCCTGAAAAGTTCAAGGTGTTAATGACAGGATTCTGAGAAGGAGCCATATAGGCAGAAGGAGCTCAGGCAATACATTCTCACCTATACAAGGATATAGCCACCTTAATTTCCAAACCGTAGTTAGACACGAAGAAATATGCACATTTCAGTAGAAATAAAAAAAAACAGCTAGTATTAAATAATAATAGGGTTATGCATACAGCATCATTGAGAACTGATTCTCCAAAAACCAGCGCATAGAGGTTCACATCAGTGCCAAGTTCCTGCGATTTGATGGACATTATGTGATCCTTTTATCTCAAAATTTGTAAATATAGTCTGTATAGGGATATGGAAGGAACCTGAAATATGGACAGTACAGTAACAGGATCAGTTGCTGACACCAGAGCACCAAACATCATGCACTCAACCAGAGGCAACTTATAGACAATGTATATTAACCCACCAACGTATCTGTGACAAATGGAAAAATATAAATTACATTTTTATAGATGAAATAAATATCAGCGAATAGGAATGGAGGCAATATAGAAGATACTCTTACACTAAAAGACCAGTGACAATAGAAGCAATGAAGGTTCCCAAGATTGCAAATGTTATAATGGCACCAAAATTTGAAAAGAATGGTTTCTATCAGGAAAAAATATGATATAATTAGCTGAGAATGATAGAATTTAACCAACGAAGAGTAGAATTTAACTAACTAAGAGGATCCAAGAATTCCACACTTACTGGTGCTAAGCTGAATCCAGACTGAGTAAGATTCAGTCAAGTAAAACATGGTAAATTTCCGTACAAGTAATTAAAAAACAAAATCAAGATACAAAAAAGGATATAATATAATTGGAGGAAGTAAGAAAAGAAGGAAGAAGTCCTCCCGAAAATTGAACCATCTCCTGAATTAATAAAGCAAATGAACACCACAAAATGTTCAGACTTAACAGCGATGTCATATTTTGCAGGGAAAAATTGTATACAGTGAGTAATAAGAAATATTATCACCTAATACTTCTTTGAGTGTTTGATATCTTAGCAAGGCCGCCAACAATCATCCCTGACAAGAAAAGCTATTAAATAATTTCGTAATAATATGGTGTCATACGATTCTAACATTTTCAATGTACCTCTAGGCTCTACAAACTATTAAATAAAATGGTAAGATCCATCTTAGCTAGGGTGTTTTATTTCCAAGGCAAATAGTATATGATAATCCACCGGATGATCCAAATAAAACGTAGCTAGAATAAACCCAAATGTCACATCACTTATCTTAGATAATCAGAAATCAGTAAAAGCTAAGCTACTGAAATGTAACGGAAATACGCTTATCTGAAGGAAAAGACATCTGTTTGCGCTACATGCCAACTTTTTAAAGGTTCATTTTATCCTCCAAAGCCCTCACCTGTTACAACCAATCCTCAACCATCGACAGTAAATTTTGGAAAAGCACAGCTCGAACTAGACTACAGCGCGCGTCGTGAATGCAAAATTTGTTCGTCTGATTTGTGCATAAACGCACAGTCGAAGCCGTTCCTCCTAATCACACACTCACACCGTTACTGCTCGCCACTAAACATCGTGTGAATAAACAGTTCATTCGGCGTCAGTAAACAACACCAAACACGATCACCCCCGCATCAAATGCGCTAGCTCAAAGCATCGCACGGCGTCGCAAATACACAACGATCGCGAAGTCAGACACATGAATCGATAGGACCCTCAGCGACGATCGGCATTCTTCAGTTTCCACAAGCCCAAAATGCTGTAACTGGGTGGGAACACATACCGATGAGGAGGGAGGCGCTGGCCTCGGGGATGTAGTAGACCTTGCGGCGGCGGAGGACGTGGCCGAGCACGAAGGAGACCACCAGCATCGATATCTGCAGCAGGATCCCCACCCCGGCCGCCTTCTGCTCGTCCACCGTCCCCGCCGCCCCCACCATCCCCACCGCCACCGCCGCGACGGCGTCATGCGGTGGAGCCGGCGCCGCCGCCGCCTCCGCCGCGACCATTTCCCCCGCCGCCGCTCCCACTCCCCCTCGCGCTTGATCGATCGATCGCTCCTCTTCCTCTTCGCCTCCGACTCGATCGTCTCGCGTTCGCTCGCCTCGGCCGCTTCCCGTGCGCGTCATGCGGATGCGGGCGAGCGAGTCGCCTCCTCTCTCCTCTCCTCCCTCCCGTTGTGGGCTGGGCCCACCGCGGAGACGGGCGGTCCAGATGCGTTCGACTGTGGATCCGACGGGTCAGATTGGGCCTGGAATCGAGGGGCCCACTGGGCACTGGCCCGGTGCCTAGAATTCGCGGGTGGAATGGAATGGAATCGGCGGGAAGGAAGAGACGGGCCTTCCAAAACGATTTTGTTATATATTTATCGACAAATTTTCTCCCAAAAATTTAACAGATATAATTACAGTATAATCGTAGTGTAATTATACTGTATGCTGTGATTTTTTTTCTTCCTCACCAAAACAAATCTTGTAATAGATTTAATGATTCAAAATTACATGAAACTTATATACAAATTACACTGTAGTTACATGCAAGTTACAGTGTAATTACATATAAGTTACAGTGTAATTACACTACGATTGTACTATAATTATATATGTTAAATTTTTAGAAGAAAATTTGTCGACAAATATATAGGTGGTCCCGTAGCTTCTGGTTGATAATTTGATATAGTTGTTAAGTTTTGCCGATTTGATCGAGTGCATGACTTGCGGAAAGTACAAGTAGTGTGATCAGTAACACCTTTTGGGCTAAATCATCATCTTTATCTGATCTGTAACTACTTACTAGTGACGAAGCCAGGATCTCTTCAAAAAATCATAACAATTCACGCAGATTTTAGCACTGATTAAGCCTTTGAGTTTTTTTTCTTGCACAACTTCGTGATTTGTTTTTCAAAGAACAAGGATGAGCTAGAACAAACTAGCATGTAACAGTAAATACTTCCTCCATTTCATAATATAAGACTTTCTAGCATTGTCTACATTCATTTATATGTTAATGAATCTAGACATATGTATGTGTTTAGATTCATTAACATCTATATGTATGTGGGCAATACTAGAAAGTCTTACATTATGAAACGGGGGTAGTAGTCTACTACTCCAATATCATCATCATCATCATCACAACATTATACTCCCTTTGATCCTTCCCAAATTGAACATCACATAAGGAAAATCATTTTTTTTTCAAAATGATCATTATATAACCATGTGGACATATGGATTTCATCATAATACAATTAATATAACATCGTATAATGTGGTGTATGCTTGTGTTTTAGTCGATACTATATGCATCATGGGAGAATGTGTGTATATTTTGTATGGTGTGTTGACTAATGTAGTTTAAATAATCCTTAGTCTTGGTGCACAAACATTATATGATGATCAATTTGAAATGAAGGGAGTAACTATCTAGACACTCCCCATGTACTATTAGAATCCAGTCCCCATATACTGTTACTAGTAAAGTCACAAATTAAACAGCACGGTCAGAAAACGCGGCGTGTACTGATCTAGCACGATGACTGAGTGACTGATCGGATATCAATATCTCCATCTATGAAAAATCTGTGGTTGCCGAACAAAAGAAAATCTGTGGCGTGGCTTCACTCCTTCAGTCAGGTCAAGCAAAACCCGTGGACGTATATACTCTTCGTCTTGGGTGAGCCATTCTTCAGTATTTCTTCTGCTGATCGAGCCACTGAATCGATCAGCTCCATGGCGCCCTCTCCTGTTATCCTTGTTATGGCTGCACTGTTTCTCCAAGCTGCAACAATGGCGGCAACAACCGCGCTAACCGTATCGCTGCCGGGCTGCCCGAGCTCGTGCGGCAGCATGGTCATCCCCTACCCGTTCGGCGTCGGCGCCGGCTGCCACCTCGCCGGCTTCGCCGTCACCTGCAACCGCTCCTACCACCCACCGAAGCTCTTCCTGCGCGACGCCGACGCCGCTGAGGTGCTCGAGATATCCCTCCTAAACTCCACGGTGATCGTCAGCAGCGCCGTCCGGTACGACGCCGCCAAAGGCGAGGGCGCGTGGGGCCGCGGCCTCGCCGGCGCGTTCCGCCTCAGGGAGCGGCGGAACCGGCTCGTCGTCGTGGGGTGCAACCTGCAGGCCGTCCTCCTGGACGGCGACGACATCGCCGCCGCGTGCACCACCATCTGCGGCGGCGCCGGCGCCACCTGGCCAGCAGCGGCCGACGGCGAGCTCGCGGATTACTCGTGCGCGGGCGTTGGCTGCTGCCAGGCTTCCATCTACCTAGGCCTCACGTCGTACGGCGTTCGGCTGTCGCCGTTCGGCACAAGCACCGGGCCGCCGCCGCCGCCGCCGACCTCCTCCGCCTCGTCGTCTAACCAATCGGATTCGGCTCTCGTGTTCGTCGCGGACAACGAGTGGTTCGGCGGGAACGCGAGTAAGCTCGGATCAGCAGCAGCGACGATGCGACCGGGCGGCGGCGGCATGCCGGTGGCGCTGGCCGTGCTCGACTGGGCGATCGGGAAGTCGGGGTGTCCGCCGCATGGGCCCGACGACACGGCCTGTAGCAGCAGCAACAGCTACTGCCGCAACTCTACCAGCACCTCGCTTGGCGGCTACTCGTGCCAGTGCGACAACGGGTACCAAGGCAATCCGTACGTTGCAAATGGATGTCAAGGTAATTTGTTACTCCCTACTTCCCTAAATGTTTGATGCCGTTGACTTTTTAAAACATGTTTAACCGTTCATCTTATTTAAAAACTTTTGTGAAATATGTAAAACTATATATATACATAAAAGTATATTTAACAATGAGTCAAATGGTAGGAAAAAATTAATAATTGCTTAATTTTTTTGAATAAGACGAACGATCAAACATATTTCAAAAAGTCAACGGCGTCAAACATTTAGGGATGGAGGGAGTATAAGGGTGTAACCATGTAAGTGGAGAAACAACTGAGGGTCTTCTGATTAGCTTCACAAGGTGGTGGGCTAGCTGTTCTGGGTTCGATGCCTCACCCTTCTATTTAGTTTGATATTAAATCATTTCCTAATATTTTAGCTTATAAGTGTGTTTAACGGATTAGTCATTTACACTTGAAGTTGCATAAGTATAGCCTCTCATCGTTTGCTTGCTAGATTATGAGCCGCGGCTAAAATTTAAAACCTAATTTTAAAGTTGATTTTAGTTTTCTTATTATAGTCAATCTTTTGCCGTTAAAATTTTAAACCGCTATTAATAGTTTTATTTATAAATTATTTTTGTTCGTTTAGTATATTTTTCTATGGCTTACCAACCATAGTTCAAATGATTAGTGGAATTTAGAACAGAATGGTACAAAATTTTTCTAAATTCTCCCTTTCAGATATCGACGAGTGCGCTCTGCCAGAAGAATATCCCTGCTACGGTGAATGCACAAACAAGCCAGGATCGTTTTCGTGCATGTGTCCGGGTGGGACGCACGGTGATGCTATGAACGAAGGAGGATGTGAACCAACGAGTACATAGAAATTTCTCTTCATTTCATAACTTAAATTTATCCTTGCAATCTTCTCTGCAAATCCTTGCACAAACAGGGTTCAGAAATTTGACCGTATCTTCTGCTGGCAGCTCTCCTTGTGGCGATAGGAGGAACCATCGGCATAGGAATTCCATCCGTGTTCGTGATAGGCATGGCAATGACGAACATGATCAAGGCACGGAGGGCCAAGAAACTGAGAGCCGTATTCTTCAAGCAGAACCGGGGTTTACTGCTGCTGCAACTTGTTGATAAGGTGATTGCTGAAAGGATGGTGTTTACCTTGGAAGAGCTCGAAAAGGCAACAAATCGATTCGACGAGATGAGAAAGCTCGGCAGCGGCGGCCATGGCACTGTCTACAAAGGCACCTTGCCAGACAGACGTGTCGTTGCCATCAAGAAATCGAATATTACGGTTCGTAAGGAGATCGATGATTTCATAAACGAAGTTGTCATTCTTTCGCAGATCAACCATCGGAATGTTGTGCGGTTATTCGGATGTTGCCTTGAAACACAGGTTCCACTACTGGTCTACGAGTTCATATCGAACGGCACTCTTTCCGACCATCTCCATGTTGAAGGCCCTACATTGTTGTCATGGAAAAATAGATTGAGGATTGCTCTTGAAGCTGCAAGCGCTTTAGCCTACTTACATTCATCCGCTTCAGTATCAATAATTCATAGGGATGTTAAGTCTGCTAACATATTGCTTGATGGTCGCTTAACAGCAAAAGTTTCGGACTTTGGAGCCTCTCGAGGCATTCCGGTTGATCAAGGTGGTGTGACAACAGTGATCCAAGGCACATTTGGATATCTTGATCCTGAATACTATCAAACAAGTAGATTGACCGATAAGAGTGATGTGTACAGTTTTGGTGTCATACTCGTGGAGATGCTCACAAGGAAGAAGCCTACTGTTTTTGAATCATCAGATAATGTCAGCCTAATTGCACTTTTTAATTTGCTAATGGTACAGGACAACATCTACGAGATATTAGACCCTCAGGTAATTTCGGAGGGCATGGAAAATGTGAAAGAAGTCGCGGCGCTAGCATCGGCATGCCTAAGATTGAAGGGGGAAGAGAGGCCAACAATGAGGCAAGTGGAGATAAGGCTGGAAAGGCTGTTAGGCGGTGACATTTTGCAAGGGCTTTCAGCTGAGCTGCACTGTCTACCACCTCAACTGAGCAATACCGACACTACTAGCAAGCTATACAACATGGAGCGGGATTTTTTGCTATCGTCGAGCTTCCCACGGTGATCTTACTACATGTGTACAAACTACATACAACTTTACCACTTAAAGTTGTTTAGCATGTGTTTGATTTGAAGATGAGGTGAGATGTGTTAGATGAATTGGGATCACCTGCAGTGGCTATAGAAAGTGATATCCGAAACCTTCCTGAATCAACTCAAAAAAAAAAAAAAAAGAAATCTTCCTGAATACTGTTCACAAAAGACAGTACCAAGGTTTCTCCTGTAGGCTGTAGCTAGAACTGTAGCAGATAATGTTTAAAACTACACTGTAGCGTCGGTTTCAGTCGTTATTGTCTTGATCCAAGGATGGAAAAGAGTTTCTACTGGCAAAGTTGCAGTCTCTGTTATGACTGCATTGGATCTTTATCCTGATCCCAATTATTCATTTGACATGAGTCATGACCTCGTGATGTAATACAACCCTACAACTACAAGCAGCTCTGTAGCATCAATGTTGCTGCCTCTGCCGCTGCCGCTTCCACAACTCCCATGGCTTTCTTTGTTGATCTTGCCTCTAGCAGTACTGAAGTACAAATACTGCGTAATTTCAGGTTGATACAGAAGATGTTCAGTTTTGCTATTTCCAGCGACTTGTTCCAAGTCCATGTCACATCGGATATTTGGACACTAATTTGGAGTATTAAACATACACTAATTACAAAACCCATTTCATAAGCTTGGACTAATTCGCGAGACGAATCTTTTGAGTCTAATTACGTCATGATTTTGACAATGTGATGCTACAGTAAACTTTTGATAATTATGGATTAATTAGGCTTAAAAAAATCATCTCGCGGATTAGCTCTTATTTATGAAATTAGTTTTTTTATTAGTCTATGTTTAATACTCTAAATTAGCGTCCAAACATCCGATGTGACATTTGGTCGAGTAGATGCCTGTGAAAAGTACAAGTAAAGATCAATAATAGTATAATACCATTTGGGCTAAATCATAATTTCGATCTGATTCGTAATATGAACTAGATAAATACTCTGTCACGTTGTTGCGGGAAATTAAGTTGCACAATATGTACAAATAAGATGAAATATGAATATTAAAAATAAAACAAAATGGTACTTATGAATTTTGAGGCCTAAAAATAATTGAGATTACTTGGTGTTATGAGAGAAGAAAGAAGAGACACTGGTCGTGACACTATCGTGAAGTCGTGACACTGGTGACTTGGATAATTTGGAAGGAACAGAACAACCGAATCTTCAATCAACAACAAAGGTCTTGGACCGAAGTGGCGAAAGCAATGGCAGAGGAGGCCATGCTTTGGAAGTCGGCTAATCACGGGATCCCCGCTGTTTGGCCTTTACGAGGTCGTGGTAGCCAAATTTAGCGCGAGATATTCCTATAGTTTTTCATAGTATCCTGTATTGGTCCCCTGCTTGTTTTCCTTTTATCATTGTAAATAACTTTTATTTCTCTTAATGAAAAAAATGCGCTCCTTGCGTATTCCCGAAAAGAGAGAAGAAAGAAGACAATTTGAACCATAGATCTATCATCCAATGGCTAAAAATAATTGGAGTGACGTGACTTAATGATAGAAGAGAGAAATAACATTAATTACACTTAGTGGGGATGAACTATATAAGCATATAGGATTCCACATAAAACAATGGTTTTTATTGATTAACTATGCAGGATATTCTAGTAACTGGTAAATCGCCAGAATAGCAGTATGCATGCGTATGAGTGACGCTTTCACGTTTCAACTTTCAAGCATTTCACTACCCCACAATTTAAAAGGCATGCATCTAACAATAATACACCAAGATGAGTAAACACCAATGATGTTGGGACAGTGAAGAAACCTATACCTTTTGACCTTTCACTCTTAGTTTGTACTAAGAGTTTGTACTAAGGCTTATTCACTTTGCTATCATTTTTAACTTTACCAAGTTTTAGCATTGCTAAATTTAGATAAGGTTATCAAAATTTTGGCAAGGTTGCCAAATTTTGGCAAAATTTCATATGTACTTACTAAAATTTGACAACAACTAAATGTAGCCACTTTTTGGGTAATTTTGCAAAAAACAAAAGGTAAGGTTGAAAATGGTAGCAAAATGAACAAGCCCTACAATTAAGTGGATGCGCGCAACAAACAATATAAGGATTTAGTATGAGTGTTAAACATATAATTTTACAGAGAACATGCAAACGTTGAAAATTATACTTATGAACAAACAACTCATTTGTGAGAAAAAAGTCAGCACACAAAACTACATTCAATAAGCGAGAAAAACATTAAGTTCATGAACATGTATGAACCATCATAGCAACGATCTGGCCTATCATGAACGCCTGGTAACCCAGCTGCTTTCTTAACAAAATGTGACTGGGTTTAAATCTACCTAATAAAAAAACACTTATGTGTTTACATATAACTAAGACAAAGTGATTTCTGTTAGAATATGATAGCCATTTTCATTTAGTGCATATCTTTGATCTATTTAAATATTTTTTTCTTTAAACATTATATATTAATCTAGGGCTCTTATAATGAATATAGCAAGATATGATTTCTTTTAGTATTCTTTTTATGAACAATAAATAAATTGCCCACACATCTGCATAGGCTTCCTCTGTAGTTGCTAAAAAAACCTCCAAAGTGTTTGGGCCACGTCTTTTCCCCCTAAAACGTACCCCTTCTAGCCTTCCGTCTCATAAAAAACTCAATCCTAACTACGAACCTTGACACGCATTTATTCAGATTCGTAGTTAGGATTTATTTTTTAGACAAAGTTGTATATGCTAATGTCATAACTAAAAATTATTTTTCAAGTTAATTTTGATGTTGTTATCTTACTTTTTTTTCTAACGTTGGTGTTAAAGTCATTAAGAATACATTGGTAAAAGTTTTAATCATAAATTATTTTTTATCGTTAAAATGTTGTTTGGCGTATCATTTGCAATTGGCCAACCAATGACAACCTTTATCTTTCAAAACTTTTAATTTTGTTTCCGTCGGATTTATCTTCCAAAACAAAAAGGAAAAAAACAAATCAGTTTTTATCTTCCAAAACTTTCAATTTTATGACCGGCGACATTCGTTCCAGGAGAAAACAAAAGGGAATCAAACCCTCGACCAGCAAGTTGCAAAGTTCCATCTCTAGCCATCTGGAAATATGGTTGGTTTTAATTAGTTATATGCGAGTTACGTATAAGTTACATTATAAATAGTTAAAAAATATAATTACATCTCATTTACACTATAGTTATATTTGAAAGTTTTTTTTACCCCAAAATTATCAAATGTTTATATAGCTATTTGCCAAAGTGGTTAATCTCTATATATCACGTTTAGAGTTATATTACCATGTTTTGCCACTTTCATCGTATTGCCAACATAGACCGAGGATGGAAAACATTCTCTTTGTCCCGTCTTCTCCATCATCTTCTTTTCAATCTCTCCTAATGCACAACTGATAGTCTAGGAGAGCAACGGAGAACCAGTTGCCTCCTCTCCTCTAGCTCCTCCATCTCTTCTCTCTCATGCGTGCGCATTGCTATTGTCGTCGTCTCAATCTTTATCTTGAGCCTCTTGGCGTCCTCACAAGGTGGCTATTTGAGCAGTGTAGGGGAGTTATTGGGGTAGGGCGTGGTCACAGTCGTAAGCGAAGAGAGGAGATGAGGCGGCCGCTCGAGCTCGGTGCCGCCGCGTGCACAACTCCTTTCCCGTCGGTCGTCGGCCCCCAACCACTGACCGCTGCCCTTCTCCTCGGCGTGTGGCCGCCCTGGAAAGATGGGGAAGAGCGGGGAAACCAATAAGACAGGTCCTTGACATGTGGGGGTGACATGTCACACGCTGACTCAGCCTCGCCATGTTAGTCGAAATTTTTAAGTTCTATACAAACTTATAACTTATGCTATACTAAGTCGGATATGTAAATTATTTTTAGAGTAAATCTCATAAAACTACAATTACTTTAGCCAAATTATCAGAAAACTACAAATTTAACATGATGTATCACAAAACTACATATTTAACCCTAAATTTATCACATAACTACATATTTAAGTTGGAATATTGCAAAACTACAAATTTAGTAACAAACTTATCACAAAACTACATGTTTAATGTCAATTTGATCGCAAAACTTGAATATTTATAACCCAAACGTAACATTGGTGCTAAGGATTTAAACCGAAAATCTATAGTTTTGTGATAATTTTATTATTAAATCTGTAGTTTTAAGGTAATTTGACCAAAGTATCTATAATTTTCTAAAATTTACTCTTATTTTCGTTATAAAAAAATCTAGTTTGTGGAGCCACCAAATAAGCTCTGAAACACAGCTAGACCCGTTAGACACTTCAACGATCAAACAATAGGGAAGTCTCCATTTGTGAAATCTGTGGTTGCCGACAAAAGAAATATGTGGCGTGGCTTCACTTCTCAAGTTTTAGATGGCGGGGCAGGAGCACTTAGGCCGTCGGTTGGGGAAGAGAGGTAGAGGGGAAGGAGGTTGGTCGGGGTGGGGGGAGGGGGGGCTCACCTGCATCGTTGACCCCTTCCTGCCAGCCGACGAGGCTGGGTACTGGCGGAGTGTGGGGCGGGACGGCGAAGGCATCGCACGCGCACGAGCTCGCGAGAGGTGGCGGCGGTGCTGGAATGATGAGGGGGGAAGGGGGTTAGGGATAGAAATATTACACACGAAATCAGAAATCTTAAAATGGTCCAACGGTCTAGAATTTGTATGATTTGTGAGATGTTTTTCTGTCATATGTCATCTAGACAGTCCCATATTTCATTAGAAATACACAAGTGCTCTCTCTTGCACACTGATGTGTGTGATCTCACTCTCAGATGGTGACAACGAATGGGCTACGAACTGTATGCTTTCCATCCGACCACGTTATTGACCCAAACAGGTCCCCTTTGGCCGCCGCCGCGGCGTTCTTGCCGGAGAAGGACACCTGGAAACCCAGCTTCTTCACGCTCTTAGTGAACTCCAGCTTGCCGGGCACCACCTTCACGTCCAGGCCGGCCGGCGCCGCGACGGCGACGGTGTAGGTCGCCTCCTGCTGCGCGCCGACGTTGGTGACGACGCGGCTCACCGTCCTGGTGCCGCCGGCCTTGCCGAGCCCCGTGACGGCGATCGACGGGTAGTTGAGGCCGGAGATGAGGTCCTTGCTGTCGCTGGCGTTGCCGCCGGCGCCGCAGCTGAAGCCGCCGGGGAGGGAGGCGGCGACCAGCTTGATCTGGGACGCGTCGTAGCCGTAGTCGCAGAGGAACTGGAGGTAGTCCTCCTCGCCGAGCTCGTACACCAGCCCGGCGTCCAGCGCGGCGGCCGGGTTCACCTGGCCCGCGCCGTGGTCGTACGGCGTCGCCGGCGACCCCGAGTCGGTCGTCACGGCCGCCCCGTCGTTGTTCAGCTGGGCCGCCGTCGTCATGATCGCCGACCGGATCGCCGCAGGGCTCCACGCCGGGTTCCACGCCCTGACGGCGGCCGCCGCCCCGGCCACGTGCGGGCAGGCCATGGACGTCCCCGACACGAGGTTGAACTGCGACGGCTTCTCCTCGCCGGCCGGGAGCGTCGACGTCGGGATCCATGACGCCAGGATGTTCACCCCCGGCGCCGCCACGTCCGGCTTGAGGATGTTGGGCGTCTGCGGCGACGGGCCTCTCGAGGAGAAGTAGGCGACCACCGGCGCCGGCTTGTACTCCGTCACGGTGATCGTCGGCGTGATGGTCACGACAGGCTCACTTTGCAGTTTAATTGATCACCATGCACGGAAGAGAGAGTGATGTGATGAGATCGATCGAGCTTAATTAATTCTGCCACTAATTAGGGTATACTTCATCCATTTTTTTAATATATAACACCATTGATATTTTAAGATATATTTAACCATTCATTTTATTAAAAAATAATGTAATTATCATTTACTCCCTCTGTCCTAAAAATATAACAACTTTTAACATTTAGAATTTGTCTCAAAATATAATAACTTATATACCAGCATTTTCTTCTCAACCAATTACAATCCTCTACCATTTAATTTTCTCACATACCTTCACTTCTCATCTAATCGTAGCCTAATCCTATTTAGTTATATCTATTTTCTTAATAGTTGTGTTCAACTCTAAGAATATATGCTTATATTATAGGAGAGAGAGAATATTGTAATGTAACTTGATTTATTACCAAATGTTTTATAAATATAACTTAAATATTTTTCTATTTGAAAAAAAAATAAAGGTGAATGATTAAATGATTGTTAAAAAGTTAACGATGCCATATATTAAAAAACGGAGGTAGTATATAATCGCTATAGTGTGAAGGACTACGTATAGTACCTGGTGGAGGAGATATACTTGTGAATGTCGGCGGCGGCGTTGGAGGTGATCTCCGTGACAGGGAAGTCGATGTAGGCGGTGGCGACGGCCTTCTCAAGGTCGTCGACGAGGACGGCGCCAACCGCGCCGGCGCTCTTGAGCTCCCCGACCTTCTCCGTCTTGGGCGTGTCGCTGTTCCGCGAGTGGTGACACAGCACGATCTTCCCTTTTATCTTGCTCGCATCCAGCGTCCCCGGCTCACAGTGACTACAAATTATTTTGTGGTTATGATTTGATTTTTGGGCATGAAACTACTTACTCAGATTCTGCTGAAACTTTCTGTTAATTTAATTTTGTTTCGTTACTAAGCTTGCCTTGTAGTACGTACCTTGCTGACTCGGTATCAGAAACTGAGCTGGACTTGGCTGATTCACCGGTGATCAATGGATATTTTGGTGATTTGTTCAAGTTGGAGAAGTTTATAGCTCCACCCTACAGATTCCATAAAAATGGGGTAGTTAAGATCACAAGAGAGTGCTCCCACAAGGATTTTAGACGGATGAGATATTAGAAATAGATGAGATTTTTTCTAATACAACGAATCTGGGAAAAAGAACATGTCCAGATATATTTAATTTTGTGATATATACCTTGACAGCGGTGTTGTTGCCGCCGAGCACGACGTCCGATTGGAAGTAGCGGTCGATCGTGCTCGCCGCGACGGTAAGGATCCACGGCGCCGCGTTCACGACGGTGGCGGCGTCCGGCCCTGCGTTGCCGGCGGAGCAGACGACCATGATGCCCTTGGCCACGGCGTGGAACGAGCCGATGGCGATGGGGTCGTCGGAGAAGTCCGGGCGGAAGTAGGGCGACGCGCCGAGGGAGACGGAGATGACGTCGACGCCGTCGGCGACGGCGTCGTCGAACCCGGCGAGGATGGCCGACCCGGCGCACCCCTCCCCGGAGCAGACGCGGTACATGGCCACCCTCGACGACGCCGACCCGCCCTTGGCCGTCCCCGCCGCGAGGCCGTAGTACGACGCACCGGTGACCGCGTTCCCGGCCGCCGTCGACGAGGTGTGCGTCCCGTGCCCGGCCTCGTCCCGCGGCGAGCTCCCGCTGCTCCGTGCTGACTGCCGCTTCGCCTCGCCGCCGACATCGTAGTACCTTGCTCCTATCAGCTTCCTGCATGCGCCGCCCGGGAAACATCAGGATATATACTCTCCGTTTCATATTACAAGTCATTTGTAATGACTTTTTTCTTAGTTAATTTTTTTAAGTGACCAAATTATACTACTTCCGTTTCAGATTAGAAAATGTTTTGACTTTGGTCAAAATCAAACTACTCTAAATTTGACTATCTTTATAGAAAAAAGTATAATATTTACAATACCAGTATAATTTCGTTAAATCTATAATTGAATAAATTTACATAATATATCTGTCTTGAGTTAAAAATATTACTATTTTTTCTATAAAATTAGTCAAAATTAGAGTAGTTTAATTTTGACCAAAGTCATAACCTAAAACAGAGGGAGTAGAAGTAGTAAATTTTCAATGTAAAACCAACATTGTATCAAAATATACGTCAAATTATGAAACTAATTTTGTATCATAAATGTTGCTATTTTTTTATAAACTTAATTAAACACAAAAGTTTTAACTAAGAAAAAGAAAATCAAATTTCTCTGGCATAGGCGTCGGCGACTCACCGGTTGCAGCTGGAGGAGTTGAAGTCATCGCCGGCCATGCAGACGCCCTTCCACCTGGCGGGGACAGGGCCAAAGCCGGCGTCGTCGAAGCTCGGGGACTCGGGCCAGACGCCGGAGTCGAGGAGGCCGATGATGGTGTCGGCCGTCGGGGACGACGACGTCGACGCTGATGCTGCGGCGGCGCGGGCGCGGGGCGAGCGGCGGCGGCGGTGGGCGGAGCCGCCAGTCTTGACGTCGACGGCGGCCGTCGTCTGCTGCTGGAGGAAGTCCCATGACCTGGTGGTGTGGAGGTGGTAGACAGGGTCGGCGAAGACGGAGACGACGCCGGGCTTCCGGCGGAGCGCGGCGGCCTCCGCCGCTGACAGCCGCGCGGCGAAGCCGGAGAAGGCGTACTTGTACTGCTGCACCACCACGCTCTCCACTGGCTGCCCCCTGTTCGCGTAGTGCACACATGACACGGTTACTAACGTGTGGCACAATGACGTCGACGTGACGTGACACACGCAACACACGTGTTGCGTTGGTGATCACTTTGTGCTACTGAGGTTTCCTTTTACCAATAATATGCATCCCAATATCTTTGGGCATAAAATTCAGAACCGTTTGACGAAAATTCTCTATCTCCATATCTACTTCTTTATCTTTATCTTTATTTTTTCTATTATCAAAATTGAAAATAAATTTGTCGGTACTTTGATACGTTATCCGTGTTTTAGTCGGTTTTTAAATTTATTTGCTTTTGAAAATATAGAAGAAGTCATATAAAAAATATCCAAGTAAATTCTCACATTTTATTTCACCATAATTAAGCCATATAACGATAGTAAGATTAAAATAATCTTCAACCATTGAAAATAGTTAAAGAGAAAGACAATGTTAAATTAACAAGAAGTGCAACACTGTAGCAAAGTGAGAGAAGTGTACACGGGTTTTTAAATTAACGTAACAATGTCTGCTTATTTTAATTTATATGGAGTTTTTTTTTAGAAAACTGCTACCTCTATTTCACATTATAAGATGCTTTGTTTTTTTAAGTCAAATCATATATGTTTGATCAAGAAAAACATATAAATAGTTTTTATACTATACAATCGTACTATATTCAATATTTGGAAAAACACTAGTGGTGTGGTAGCGGAGTCGTGAGTGTATGATTCTACTAACCAGGGTTCAAATTCTGGTGCCCACGAATATTATGCACATGCATGTAGACTTTTAATAGAATTTTAGTGAGATAAGGGATATGTCGATGGTCTGCATGTGCTTTTTAACAGGATTTTTGTTAGATCAAGGATGTGCCGTTGGTTTCTATCTCTTAGAGCATATGTTAGGGGGGGGTCCATTTGTGAGGGTGTGAGTGCGGTGCTGCGTATGTAGTGGCGTGTGTATGTCTATCGTGATTTTTTTTTAAAAAATCAGTATTTAGATTGAATGGAACTAACACAGTATCGTAGAACTTGTTACATTTTTCCGTAAACTTGACCAAACGTAAAGAAATTTAACTTTAAAAAATAAAACATCTTCTAATATATAAAGAAATTTAACTTTGAAAAATTAAAACATCTTCTAATATAAAACGGAGAGAATATATTTAATGCCATGCTACAAATCGGCAAACTGAGCGAGTACCTTCTTATTGACTGACATGCATGCTACTGCTAGCTAGTGCAACTTGAGAGACATTAGCACCAACAGGAAGAGAGTTAAAAATTAATTTATTTTACGATGGACCTTTTGAGCACGGCGCCGATGAGGCGGAGATGGGTCTGCTGGAGGATGTTGGGCGAGGTCCGCGGTGGCACGGCGCCCAAGTACACCACGTATACCCCACGCCGCTCGCCGCCGCCGCCATTTCCTCCTCCAGCCGCGGCACCACCACCACCGCTGGCGCCGGCGGCGAGCAGCAAGGCCAAGACGAAGCAGATCAGCGGCAGCAACCACATGATTGCTCGTATAATTTTTATTTGTACTGCACCGGCCGGTCAGTTCAAGCTCTGCTCTCTCTCTCTCTCCCCCTCTCTCTCTCTCTGGCCACGAAACGATCGCACTATGTATGGCTGCATTTATAAGCGCGCGCGTGCGACGTCGTCACGTCCGTACGTGCCGGTGACCGGAGGTAATAAGAGCAGTATAAACATACGTGAAGGAGATAAGAGAGAGGAGAGAAGAAAAACGGGTTATAGATATACATCGCTGTAGCACGAACTTTAAAATGTATGTGTATATATATGTGTGTATATATATATATATATATGATATGTAGGACCAATTATCATGGTGTATTATATATTTGTAATTAACTAGTATAAATTAGTTATTAGATAGACTATAGATGATTTAGAGTTAGTAGTTGGCTGGAGTATACTACTCTTTCTGTTTTACAACGTAAGTCATTCTAGCATTTACTATATTTATATTGATATTAATGAATCTAGACATATATATCTATTTAGATTTATTATCATTAATATAAATATAGAAAATGTTAGAATGGAAGTATTGAGGTAGTGGTCGCCTGGTGGGATCGGATCGGATCGGATCAGCCGGCGCTTGCGCGTGCGTGCGCATGATATGTGGCTGCGAGCGCGAGGGGTAGGTTAATTGTGGATCGGGTGCGCCGTGATGGTGCGTGCACCACTGCGCTGCGCTGGCTAGCTACTCGAGTAGAGTAGAGTATAGTATATCACTAGTCTTGGAGTGCAGCCGCGCACTAGTGCGCGATCTCACCTTCTCTCGAGCATGCGCCGAGCCTAAATAGCTACTAGTAGTATAGACAAAGTTACCTAGTTGCATTCTAGTACCATCCACATATTTTTTGTCAGGATTCAGTAAGTTCATCATCATATACTCCGCTAATGTCTGTACCAAATCCTAAGTGTAAGCAGGCTTATCATGTTTGACATCCCCAACTAGTGACAACAATAATATCACAAGATGAATAGTATCTTTCAAGTTAGTTTGGAAACATCAATGACTTCCCCAAACCTAATCCAAAATAAGTGTTCTATCTCTCCTTTACGTTCCTTGATTCAATCACCATAATTCGTCCTACTTTGACATGAACAAGGTTTGACACAACCTAGTATATGCAAAACAGATTATTTTACTTGCCCAACACAATACGGAGCATGGACATATATAAGCGCATTTGCCATGACACTATCGTTCATCACCAAAGAAGAGAGGGAAAAGATGGGCTCACAGAGCTGTTGCCATGTTAAAGCACTATTCAACAGAATGAAGCCCAGATGCCTTCAAGAGGAGCAGCAGCATAACAAGACCAGAACAGTCAAGGCAGAAATAAGGCAAAACACTCTTCAAGACATCTTGTATTCTCCTCAGAGCTTTCAGGGGGAGGCAATTGGAGCCCCATCACCTCGGAGGCACTCTCCAAAGGTTTGCCCAATTAACCCGGATTGTTCTTATGAAAATAATTCTCCTAACATCCGGGACAGCTTCTCCATCGATAGAATCTCTATTAGGAGCCAAAACAGCATGAGGAGAGTTAGCTTCAGATTACCTGATGAATCTGACATATTCATCATTCCCGCACGCGAAGATCCTGAAAGTTGCTCCACTGATGACGAATCTGTTGAACATGTAAGTGAACAAGACATTGATGCAAGGAAAATCCGTTATGCTAAAACCAGATACTAGCAGCACTGCCACTGCTCTCATGTACCTAGCAAAAAAGAATACAAGAAAAGAAGCTTCAAAGAACAAACTCATTGGTTGATCTATTCCAAAGAAGATACTCATGTTATGCAGTAATATTAGTGTGTGCCTGCTTGGGTGCTTGTTGCTTCTCAAGGATTATACTGTACGACACTTCAGAACAAACTCGTAACTTATCTATTTTTCAAGAGAACGTACTCATGGTACGCAGTACACAGTAATAGAAGTGTATGCCTGCTTGTTGCTTTCAAGGATGAAACTGTACGATATTTTACAACTTATTGGATTTCATGCAGATGTATGCGTTTCATGATTTCAGTTTATTTGGCCTTCAGATTCTCCAACGTATTGTAATACCCAGCTTTTTACACCTTTTCTTATTCTTTTTTTTAGACGGTTAAACAGCAGAATAGGCTCCTACTGTGATATATTAAAATATAATATGTACATGAGAGAGATAGTACAAGGGGGGGCGGGGGGAATAAAAAAACAGCAGAAAGAGAGAGATTTTAGCTAACCTTTTCTTATTCTGGAAGCTGGAGAGTGTCAAGAAAATGTTATGTATGTTACTGAATCACCTTTGGCATGTATAATATAGATTTTTCCATCACAATAATCATTTAGTTATAATGCTATATAAACTTTATTTTCTAATATAGAAAGATAGGAGATATAAATGCCACATACAAAAGCCAAACAGCACAAACCTATTAATTCTGTCCCTTTTTCCTCATGAATGGCCAATTCCTAGTGTAAGTAACTCAAGTTATTCTCAGCAAGTAAGGGTGAGAAGCACAGCTGACCTACTTCTATACACTATCTATAGTCAGATTTGAAGCCTTCCGTCAGTGCAACAACCTTTGAAGATAACTTTGACTGTAGTTTGGAAACAGCTTGTCTAATATCCTACAAAATAATCATTTGGGTCAGATTAGTCTAGAATCCGCAACTATTATTTTTAGGAAACACTGGATTCCCAATGATTTATAGGTTAGTGATTACATACCTCAAGACTATATCGATTTGAGAAATGTGTCAGTACAATGGCTTTGTTTCTAAACCATTGGGAGTGCTCCATTATCTGTAGACGACATACCAGATTTGCATTAATGCAGTAATACTTTATACAGACATCTCATTTAACTATCAGAATTGTCCCAAAGCTCATTAGAATCATAGCATGGCAGGGAGAAAGTGACAAGTGCATCATCATTTACCTCAGAGAGATGCATGTGGCCATGCTCCCGAGCATGATCAACATCAATTTGGTCATCTAGGAAGGTTGCCTGTGAAAAGGTCAAATAATGTTGGTGCCAAAGCATTCAATAGGGAGGACATTTGAAATTATTTTGTCATGTTTCAGATTTGATGGACCCTCTGATCAAATAAAAAGGAAGTTCTTTTGTTATTTTACAGTCTGAAGATGTGACAAATCAATATAATAGGGTGGTTTTACTTAGACTGCCTTTTACTGTTCTCTGATATTTCAAGACTATAGCTGTATTATACTACTCTCCCAATCCCATAATATAAGGTGTGGTCAATGTTGGCACGGTCTCCAAAACTAATCTTTAGCTTATAATTTCTCATATACTATAAGATTTGTAGCAACAAAATTATAACCACATGAAAGTAAATTTAGATCTCAATCTAATGATGTAATCTTTAACAAACAAAATTCATTTTCATATTATATTAAGTGTTGGTCAAATGTTTTAAAGGTTGAATCTTGAAATTCGTGCGCGCCTTATATTATGGGATGGAGGGAGTATTATACTTCACACCCTTTTTGCTGACTTTGACATGTCCCATGAGAATGATTACATCTCTAAATGTGACTGATTACATACAGCTGGAACAAATACTTTTGACAGGCTTGGGAGAAAGGGCAATAATCAAGGAAACTAAAATCTAAAGCCAATACCTCAGTTATAAGGACTTTTGCTCTCAGGGCATCTGCATTTCGTGGGTCAAGAATAAAATCAGACTTTGTGTCACCTGTAAAGGCAACTTCTGGATATAGTATAGTATCTGTAATCTGACAGAAAAGAAGGCAGTGAGTAACAGTGCAGAATATATTTCTTATATAGAACAGATTGCTAGCTGACCTCAGCGCCTGATTGCTTCATTTTCATTATTTGATTACCCTTCAAGTGAGCATACTGTTTTTTCAACTTTCTCCGAACAGAGTAGATGACATAACCCTGTGAATGTACACAACCCGCACAAGGGGCGAAATAGTTATTAAGCACTAAATTGTCCAAGAAAGGTGAGAACTAGAACTTTTGGCTTGCTAACTATACTTAAATTGACCTAGGGAGTTATACCTGGCTGGGTATAGCATGGTGAGTCTCAAATGGTCTGGCAACAAGGTCATTACGTATTTCAAATGTCTCCCCTGAATGCAATCGTAGAAACATTAGAAATAAACAAGGAGAGAGAAACACAGAAAGAAGAGGTGAAACGAGCTCAAACCCAAATCAAGCGCAACCAATTCCACTTTAAGGTCGACTTGACTCATTCTACGATGGATTTGAAGTAGATCCTCAACATCATCCTTGATACATGGTGGTACAAATACAACGGGTGGCTTCAAATTATAGAGGCCACGAGTTGCTATGTACATTGGGAGACCACCCTGAACAATCAAAATAACAAAACTGAGGTGGATATGGCTGCATTTATGTTGTGATTCTGTTAGAGCAGCAAATGGAAAAACTGACAGTGAAGCATATTCGTCAGTTTAAAGGGAAAAACATTGGAAAATTCTCCCGTTGCTATGCAAAGGAGAAATATGTTGGCACAATCATGATTTTCTTGACACCGCTCCAAAGTAAAAGCAGGTATAGAGCAAGATGAGACTATTTATTATTTAAGAATTACACGCAGACTAACTTAGGCCAACTTATCAGAAGAATTGGTGATAAAAATCCTATCCATCACGAATTCACGATAGCATGTTGTTGAACAAATAAACTAAGCAGACATTTACTAAAGGCCACAGTCCAAATAGTAAATTAAGCAGGCATTTCCCCGGTGACAATTCCCTTGAAATTACTGAATCAATCCCCTTACATCAGCTTTTCTATGAAACTTCACCGATGGCGCACCCAAGCTTAGCTAGAGGCGCAGTTGCCTCTACACGAAATTCACGAAGCACAAGCAGCACAGGAATGAATCAAACCAGGACAGGGCTCGGGGCGCTCACGATGTGGTCGAGGTGGGCGTGGGTGATGAAGAGGTAGTCCTGGCTCACGGCGAAGAGCGGCCCGCGGCCGATGTCGAAGGCGACGTTGAGGGACGGCACGGTGACGCAGGTCTCGTGCCCGCCGACGGAGACCCCCTCGATGGCGTACCCCTCCACCTCCACGCCCTTACGGTGCACCTGCGCGCGCGCCCGGCGGTACTCCTCCTCGTCCGCCATCGCCCGGTCGAGCACCGACAGCAGCCCGCCGCCCGCTCCACGCCCCCCGCCGCCGCCCTCGCCGGTGCCCGTGGCGACGGCTGCCTTCTTCGCGGCGAGCGTTTGGAACTGGGAGCGGGAGGCTGGGGCGGACGACGACGCGGGGACGAGGAGGCGGTGGGTGAGGCGGAGCGAGGGGAGGGAGAGGAGGGAGGTGGCCGCCATTTCCGGCGGCGGAGGCGGAGGCGGAGACGAACGGTGGCGACGGCGTCGTGGGGTTTTCTGGGTTTTGGGGGGAACTCGACTCGAGGATAACGGAGAGTCATTTTTGCGGGGTAGCCCCTGTCTTATCCTAAAATTGTTTTTCCAATTGGAGGAGGAGGAGGAGGAAGAGAGTCACTGACCCCTGATTACTCAAGGCCTCAAGGAGCTTCCTGTAAAATGCCAAATTCTATTTGTTTATTTATTTATTTTGATAGTGTAAAATGTCAAATTCAGCTACACTGAAAATAAAGAGAGATCAGTTTGTGTTTACAGGTTCAGTGAGGCAGATTGCAGTGATAATTTATATCTTACCAATACAAGAAGTCAGGAATTGATACTGGAACGATGATACATTTCCAGATTATGGTTAAATACAGCAAATTCAGCATAGATTACAGAACTGAACACTATACAGTGGAGTGTACATTTTTTTTTTTGACAGAACGTGTACAAGTATATTGCCAGTTCATTTGGAAGAATTGTGGGTACATCACAACCAACCCACCATTTCTCCAGTATAGCAGCAGCCTATTTCTACAGTTCTATGGTTCCTAGATTTACATATGTACAACTCCTACGGTTATTTACAAAAGAACATTATACAGCAGAACGAAATAATGCTAACATGTTGAGGAAGTAGCACTACACGTTCCATGGGACATGGCGATTTCTGATGCTTTGCTGATTGAGCAACAAGCCTACTTCTTGCCAGATGCTTTCATTGGCTTAAATAGGGAGTATGACCTCCGATGAAGGCAACATCAGAGCTAACAATTATTCTTGACTGGGAAGTGAGGATGTATGCATCGCTGATGGAGAACCCCTTGATGATAGGCAATGGGAAGCCTCTTTTGAGATATGAATTCACATAGGGCACAAACAATTTTTTCAACAAGATCTGCATCACACTCTGCCAATACAAAAATTAGAATCAATTAGACATTCAGAAGTTAAGAAACAAATGTTCACCAATGATAATAAAATACATGTGCAGCTCCACAATTAACAACTTCATTCAGAAATTAGGCCTTTCCGCTATACTAGGTAAAAGAACTTTATGAAGAAGGCATTTTCAACCGAAATTACTTTTTTCTTTCCAATAGGATAACGCATGTCTTAGTTAGCCCCTCAGAGTCCCTCTTGGAAATTAGGCATATCCATAAATATAGGATGGAGATTCCCAAGCTCACCTCTTTTCTATTACACCATCATAAATTACAAACTGTGGAATGTCATTAAATCGTATAATACAGGCCAAAATACCTGAACTATGAAGGTATGAAGTTTGCCAACTTTGCTCCACTTCAAGGTGAATGAGAAATAATCTAACTCGACTCTTCCAGCAAGATTGTTCCCAGAAACCACTGCAGCTCCAGAGACAGTAACTGACTGTGGAAACAATATGCGACAACGGTATCAAAGAGGTGGAAATTGCACGTGTTTCCTCGTGTAGAAATGTTTATGTATAATGGAAGTCCAATTGTAAATCAACGGATGAAACAAAAAAAGAAAACATGAACACAACTCAATGTGCCATAGATTTCATTTCTAAAATTCTCAGTGGGAGAAAATATGAAATGCTGAAGGTCAAAGACAACACGGACAGTATACAAGTGCTGCCAGATGGTGCAATACTGTTACATTTCAATATGTTTACTTTCCATAAGTCAAGCAACTAGCAATGAAATCAAATGAAATCAGGAAAGGAAATTATTAGAAAAATCTCACCACTGATATGCACGCCACTGGAACTATCTCATCAAAATCCAAAACATTAACTGTGACATCTAAGTCAACTGCGGCATCAATCCTACCCACATTAATCCTCACGGAAGGAGGTGAAGTAGCTGAAATATTCAGCAGCATATCATCATTGGGGTACTTCTGATATAACCTTGGAATCAAAAACCTCCAACTAGCAGTATTCAGGAAGAGCTGATCAGGAATTTTATCCACCATACGTTGTAGTGAACCAGCCTGAACAATCCAAGTATCATATCAATTAGAATATATATTTTTACAGCTATTAGCATATTTGTTACTCCCTCCGTCCCAAAATATAACAACTTTTAGCCCTCAAGATTTGTCCTAAAATATAACAACTTCTCCACCAACATTCTCTTCCCAACCAATCACAACTCCCCACCATTCATTTTTCCCACCTACTACCACTACTTAACCAATCACAACCCTCCACCCTCCACCATTCACTTCTACCTACTTTCTTAGTAACCATGTCCAACTCTAAAAATGCTTATATTCTGGGACGGAGGGAATAATTGTTTCCATTCAAACATGAACACGTGTTCAAGTTAGCTACTCTAGACGGACACAATCAACAAAATATATATCTTTCTTTTGTGTAATATATATATATATATATATATATATATATCTTTTGACAAAAGCAAGTTCAGATAATCCTTCAACTTTACACATCTGCAGTAAGGCTTTAATCCTTTAACCATGATAACAACCACTTTCTTATGAATTCTGATATACCTTGAAATAGAGAGCTGAAACAGAGTTGAAAACATCTTCATCCAATGAAATCCATAGCATTTTTGAAGAGCTACCAAGAGGTGGTACATATTTTACACCTCTAAAATGCATGTGTCTTGAAACTGCAGTTTTATCAGATGGAATGAACAGTCCATCGATATCAAACTCCACAGAGGAACTCTTGAAGAGTGGATCACTAACAAATGTCACATTCATAGCAGCGATGCTATCAACATCGATTTTCTTTGGAAGGCTTCCAAGGAATGAGTCAAGCTTTGATGCACCCTCCATTATTTTCTTCGTAATTGCATTTTCTACTGATGATCTGATATGATTACTGAAACCATCTACAAACCTAGAAAAGGTAAGAGGAATAATATCAATCCATGTGGGGTCAGATAAATATCAACAGCATTCAGGAATATATAGGGCAATTATTTTGACAAAAAAAATTGCATGATATTCTAACCACAGATATAAACCATGTTTCCTATATATATTGCTGATGTACAGAAAAATAGAATTAGAATGGGCATGGCTACCCACATCGGGCAATTATAGGAGTCATATTTTGTTTTGTATTGTGCCACCGAATAAGATAGCGAGAAATCAGATCAAGAATGGAACCATTGGAACCTCCGACAGTACAAGCCCTTGTTCGCTTGGTTCTGGACCAGCCTTTCTTCTCACTTGATAACAGATCATCTAGCTCTCTTTTATAGTATAGTCAAAGTCTATCTGGGCACGGAAGCTAAGCCGGCAAAGAAAAAGGCTTAATAAGATGAGTGGGGAAGAAAAAGTATCCTCTTTCAGGATAAGGGCTGGAGGAAGCAGGGACTGAACCAGGGCTTGTTGACAGAGCAGATATCAAAAGCCTATGTTATCTCATTTTCAGGGACTGAGCAAGGGATGAGCGCCCTCTGATCTAACGACCAAACAAGCAATTTACAGAGCAACCTCAGTTAATTTGACAAGTTTTTGCATATGTAAAATTGTGAAGCACGTACCCCTGATAAAACCAAGATGCTCCTCCGTTCAGTGATATGTCCAAGCTCTTCATATTACAGCCACATTCTGTAACGAACAGCTTGAGAGACCCATTTTGATTCTTCATCCCCATGGAAATCCCAACATCCATTCCATCAACCTTAGCGAAAAGGAATCATGAATACATCTTGTACCTTCGTATATATACATGTCAAGGGTGTCTAGTACTCAAATAATACAGGTAAATAAGGTGTAAGTGCCATAGGTGACATTGTTTCGGTGTAAACTTTCAAAAACACAACTGAGACGTTTTTACTTTTTAAAAAAGAAGCAGCTTATAATTCCAACAAATTAACTGAGGAGCATATAGGATATCTATGTTATTGAAATGTTGCTTGCCTGCTGCAATGCTGCTATTTAGGTGCTTAGAATTGTAAACTCCATTGAGCTAAAATGATCTAGAGAAAAAGTTAAGATCATCTTGAAGTAAATCCTAAGCACAAATGCCAGCTGCTCCTAATAGGCAGCCCACATGTCACCCCAATATGCACCGTGCAACAAGTAACCAGCTATTGTGCCTATCAATGTAAATTACTCATGTACCAACTAAAGAACTAGATTTGAAAGTGTCTTCAAAGCTACTCAATTTCATAACGTGCTGGATTCTACTTTACATACATGTTTCATTCCATACATGCCAATAAGCGCAAATTCAGACACTAAACCACTAATTTTGAACATTAACTTGTCAATCATGGAAGTCCCCCTCCAATCTAGCATCATCTCTCGAACTGTGAAAAAAACAACAACAATTGAACGCATGAATACCGCGACCCATACCTGAATCGAGGCATTACCGCTGTCAGAGATCGTGACGACCCAGGCGCTATAGGAGTAGCTCCACCCCATAGTAAGATTAACGCTGGACAGCGACGCGGCCACCACGATCCCGTCGTCCCCGACGGCGACGGTGGAGTCGTCGACCGCCACGCCGTGGAGGACGATGCCGGAGGCGACCATGTCCACGGTGCCGATGACCGGGATGCTCACGGACCTCTCGATGTCGGGCACCTCCAGGGGCACGATGGCCTCCGCGGCGCGGGACACGAGGAGGTCCTTGACGAAGTCGAGGCCCGACTGGGAGATGACGGCGGAGATGTGCGGCGACGCGGAGGCGGCGGAGAGGAAGGTGAGGAGGAGGAGGAGGAGGGGGAGGGTGGGGAGAGGGGCGGCGGCTGCCGCCATGGCGACGCCGGCGCCGGCGAGGCGAGAGAGGCTAGGGATTGGGGAGGAGGAGGTGGAGGCGGTGGCCGGAGTGGGAGTGGCGTGAGGGAGAAGGCGGCGGCATGGGCGCCGCCGTCGGGTAGTCGCGGCGGGTTTGAACGGTCGTCTTCCCCGGGGAGTGGCCGTGGTGACGTGGCAGAGACGTGGCTAGGCGGGGAACAGCGGCGGTAAATGCCTGTCCATGGGCTCATGCCGCGTATATCCTCTTGAAAAATAGGAATTCAATATTTCATGATTGAGGCTGTGTTTAGATGCAGGGTGTAAATTTTTAGTGTGTCATATTGGATATATGAACACATATTTAAAGTACTAGCAAAAGTGTCCGTACGTTGCACCGGGTGATTACGGAGTGTGTATATTAACCAAAAGTGTTGTTTGGTTTAGCAAAAGTGCCCGTGCGTTGCAACGGGAAGCGTACATATCAGAAAAATATGCAATTAATTAAAATACAAATTCGCTGAAATATTTGATATTTTTAAGTAGGTATATGTGTATAATTAAATAAATTTACAAGTAAAGTAAGTGTGAGAAATAACTATAATTGTAATGCTTCTGAAAAAATGAGCACTAAACATGAACTTATTCTCTCTTTTTTTCGGCCCGAGGGACCTAAAATAGACTTATTTTCGGCCCTTACCGGTCGGCCCACGGCCTTTTGCGCACGCGTGGGCTCACTTCCCCTCCCCAAGCCGCAACCTGGGCTTGAGCCAGAAAAGTGGCCTCACTCTCGATCCCTCTTGGGCCGATTTCGGCCCGGATGACACCGGCCGTCCGATTTCTAGGGTTTTGATCGGACGGCCGAGCGTCGATATCGGGGAAACAAAACCCCCTCCCTCTCAGCCGCCAAAACCCTAGCCCATTTCCCTCCCCTCCCTCCCATTTCACTTCGCCGCCCTCCCCTCCGTGCCCCCGAGCGGTGGCGGCACCCCTCCCCCCGTGAGCGGCGGCGGTCCGCGGCGGCGCCCTCCCTCCCGAGCAGAGGCGGCGCCCTCCCCCCGCGAGCGGCGATGGCGTCTCCCCCACCACTGGCGGCGCGGCAACGTCCTCCCCCACCACCGGCAGCGCGGTGGCGTTCTCCCCACCACCGGCGGCTCCCGGGGAGGTGATCCTCTCAGTCAAAGCCACGGCGGCGCCCCTCCTCCTCTCCCTCTCGGGTCGGCGGTGGCGGGTTGGTGGCGGCCGCGACAGATCCGAGGGTGGGGGCGGCGGCTCCCTCCACCCCCTCTAGCCTCCCTCCCGCGGCAGATCCGGTGGCGGCTGCGGCTCCCTTCTCCCCTCTCGCCTCCCTCCTGCCCCAGATCCAGCGGCGATGGCGGTGTCGATGGCGTCGGCGGGTGAGTCCGTCGGCGGTGGCGGCGGCTCCCTCCTCCCCTCTCGCCTCCCTCCCGCCCTAGATCCGGCAGCGATGGATCCGGCGGTAGTGGCGGCGTCAGCGGCGGCGCGCCCACCCCCCACAGCGGCGTCGGCGGCACCCTCCCCCACCACCGGCGGCGGATCTAGCGGGAGGAGAGGTGCCCCGCGAGCGGCGGCGATGGCGCCCCTTCTCCCGCGAGCAGCGGCGGCGGCGGAGTCCTCTCCCACCACCGACGACGGCGGCGGCCCTCTCCCCTACCACCGGAGAGCGCCCTCCGCCGCCACCGCCGGCGGATCTAACGGGAGGGACCGGCGGTGGCGGCGCTCTCCCCTCCACCGGATCTAGCAGGAGGGAAGCCGCCGGCGGCCAGCCGTCTCTGCGACGGCAATGGCGACGGCGGTGGTGACCCCCTTGATCTAATTTTTGGTTTTGGTTTGGATATATATGTGTACATGCATCATGATTTGTGTGATTGAACTCCGATTGTGATTGTTATTTTTTTCCGGGGTTTGATTGGATTCGGATTGGGATTTTGGGGGAGGGGGGGCGACGAAGCGGGACGAAAAACCAGTGTGACGACCGGAAAAATTCGAATATTTATATTAGTTATAGATTAAACATAGACTAATAATAAAATAAATTACAGATTTAGCCTGTAAACTGCAAGACAAATTTATTAAGCCTAATTAATCCGTCATTAGCAAATGTTTACTGTAGCACCACATTGTCAGATTATGGAGCAATTAGGCTTAAAAGATTCGTCTCGCAATTTTATACGCAATCTGTGTAATTAGTTTTTTTCGTTTATATTTAATACTCCGTGCATGTGTTTAAATATTTGATGTGACATGGCGAAAAATTTTGCTAGAGGATCTAAACTTTTTCGTTTATATTTAATACTCCGTGTATGTGTTCAAACATTTGATTGCTAAGGTGATTTTTGAAACTCATACAGATTAAGACGAAGCTTAAGTGTTTATACAAAACGAGATTGTATTAACGTATAATTAATTGAGTTTAATTAAGTATTACAAATTTAAAAAATATATTTATCTGATATTTTAGAATAACTTTCATATAAAATTTTTTTTACACAAAACATACCGTTTAGTAGTTTGAAAAGCATGTCATGAATATCCAAATTTTCATCCAACCATTCCAAAGCTTACTTCAAAATATGGATCTTTTGACCACGCCATTCCATCCAACGTGGCAATATAACATCGACACGTCACCACAACGGGCGTGATAGTTTTATCTTATCACGTTAGTCAGGGTGACGAGGCCAAATAACATTGTCACATCCGTTAGGCCGGCGTGACCAAATAACGATGGAACATTAGGCAGACCGGCATGACAGTATGCGTAGCTAAAAGATTCAAATTTTTAAAATAAGTTTTTTCAATTGTTTTTTTAATTAAAAATAAAAAGGTTCAAGACATAACAAAAAAATCCACGCTCAGGCCTCACGCAGTAATGCCGTGGTACGTGCACTGACTTGGCATTCTAGAGCACAGCGTGGCATGCGCTATCCCCGTTCAAATACCCCAATGGGTAAATCCGGTCCGTCCACGTGTAAACCGGCTCGGGTCGGGCTCGCCAAACCATCGACAGAAGCGAAGCCGGGTCCAACCCCACCACTCGCCCAGTTGTCCGCGCACCCCTCTGACGTGGTCACTGACAGGTGGGCCCGAGAGCGGTGGGGTCCACATGTCAGTCACCACGTTCCTCCGCCTTCGCCGTCAGCTTTCCCCTTCCCGAAGCTTCGCCAATCTCCCCTCCTCTCTCTCTCTCTCTCTCCTCCCCGCGGTCGCCGACGACCTCGCCACCGACCCCGCCGCCGGACGCGAGGAAGAGACGGGGGGAGCCCCGGAGGCAGGAGCGGCGGGAGGGGATGGCGATGCAGACGGGGTTCGCCACCTCCAAGGTCCTCATCCTCGTCGGCGCAGGTCTCGTCACCGCAACCTCCCCCTCCTCCTCCTCCTCCTCCTCCTCCCGCTCTACTATATTTTCTAGCATCGATTCGAGATGCGGATCGCCCCGCTGTGTTCTGATCCTGATGCGGTGGTTTTTGGCCGGCGTCGAGCTGCAGGGTTGACGAGCTCGATCGTGCTGCGGAATGGCCGGCTATCTGACGTGTTGGCGGAGCTTCAGGTCGGTGGATTGCCTGATGTTTCTTGAGTAGAGTAGTTGGATTCTGGGCATCTAATTCTGTTGATTGCTTCGCGTTATCGATCGTAAGTTGCCAATACGCTAATATAGGCGCGTCAGTGTTGCCCGTGTGTGTTTCAAGCGATGTTGTGATTTATATATCTGTTTGTGGGACTCCAATTTATCAAATGCATTACAGCTACATTTCACCGATCAAACGTTGGGCGTGCACATGGGCATAACTTTTTGTCGCTTAATTTCAATGTCGAATCATTTCGATGCACCAATTGGAATGTCATGCCTAAGTTAATCACCCAATGGCTATGATGATGCGTTCTTCATCTATAATTTGTAGTAACTCATAAAATCGCAGATGTTTATTGAAGTAGATGGTTTTTTCCCTGTTTTTAGGAGCTTATGAAAGGTGTAAACCAAGGAGAAGGTTCGAGTGCCTATGACATCGCCCTTCTTCAATCTCAGGTATGCATCGTTTCATATTTTTCATAGAATCAACAGTTGAATGGAAGTTACAATGCAGACTTCAATTTCAATAAAGTTGCCAGTTTCAGTAAAAACCACTGCAGTTTGTTGTTTTTATTATTTGTGTGCTGGCGCTTGACTGCAGATTCGAAATTTAGCACAAGAAGTTAGAGATTTGACTATATCAAGGCCTATTACCATATTGAGTGGCAACTCCGACTCTGGAGGTTTGTTCTTGTTTGATCCTCTCCTCGTTCTGTTTTCAGTTTCACTCTTCTAGCAGTCATGCAAAGAGTCTATCCATATAAAGCTTTTGTTACATCTTTTTACTTAGATTATTTGTCAATCTTAAGGTTTAGATAGACAATTATTGGCTTGTATCAGCTCCTCTACAAGGCTACCACCCCTTGGTGAAAAAGTGGTCAATAGTCATATTTTTGCTAAAACTCGTTAAAGAGTGTCAATCTCTATTCTCTAATTCAATATTGAGTAATTCATGAAGCTGAAATGCTTCAGCGATTACAGTATGAATCATGTTGATTGGTCAATAATAGCAATGTAATGACAAATGGGATAGGAATGCTGGTACATTCAGCTGTTTCTCACAACATTCATGAACATATCTCACTAGCTACTTGTCCCCATGTGACATGTATCTTTTTCTTATCCGTGTTGTTTATTCACTAGCATTTGCATCCCTTTTGCAGGCAGTTTATCCTCCTACATACTGCCTGCAGCTGCAGTTGGAGCAATGGGTTACTGCTATATGTGGTGGAAGGTAAAATCAGGAATATACAATGCCACTTTGATCTATCAGCTTTTATATTCTGATTTTTCTTCCTTGCTTTCTTTCTCCACAAACACTCCTTACTATCCTTTTCCTTTTATTATACTTACAGCCTTCAATAAATTAGTAACTGAATGAAGAGAGTAATATGATGTTCCCCATTTGCTTGTTTACCTTGTTTCTTGTAGTTATATGTCTTAAGAACTATGCTACCTAAGTCTCCCTGTAAAGTATTTCCATGCAGTCCCAGTGGTTCTATGTGGATCCAAGTATCCAACTTTGATATATAATTGGCATTTGGCACCCTTGTATGTATTTTGAGACATCATGAATAAACCACATTCTTTTTTTTTTGGGCGGGGGATTAAATTGCTTTCTTAGTCATGTAATAACACCTCTCTGATTCTGTGACCAAATATTCTATCAAGAATCACAGTTTCGGGTTGAGAGACTCTTTTCATGATCCCTAGGCCCTAGTATTTAAGTAAAACCATCAAATCTGTCTTGTCCTAATGGTGTTTGTAGACTAAATTACTAGTACAATGATGAACTGTATGTGTTAAACTTTTCTTACATTATAGTATCTTCCTGCAGGGATTGTCCTTATCGGATGTCATGTTTGTTACCAAACGCAACATGACCAAAGCTGTTGAGAGTATGTCGAAGCAATTGGATCAAGTGTCTTCAGCTTTAGCTGTATGCTTTACATGCTGAATCGTTACATATTTGAAGTAGTTTTCCTTCGCATATGCTGACTAGTGTTTTCTAAATTCAATTAATTTCAGGCAACAAAAAGGCATCTAAGTCAGCGCCTGGAAAATTTAGATGGGAAAATGGATGAGCAAGTGGAGGTCTCCAAAATTATTAGAAACGAGGTTTGTTGATTTGTGATGCTGCTAGCCCTTCAACTTTTTACACATGGAAATTTTTGAAGTTCCTTTTTTTTTTTCTCTGGAGCAATAATTATTGTTTCATTTTTTTCATTACATCAAGTCTAATTAGCATCTGATAACTTTATTATTAAATTGTGTTTCTACCTGAGGTGCATAACTCTTATTAGTTTGATTTGTGTAGTCGCATCTGAAAAGGTGGATCAGGATTTTCTTTGTCATGCCAATATTGTTTCAAGCTAAAAACTGTGCCCTCGATAAAGCCAGGAAGCACTTGACATGGCTATTATAGGATATGCATTGAAATATGGTGGAATTGTTGGCTTTTACTATAATCATTGACAGCATATTCCAAGTGATCGATCTTGCCCATAAACCATAAAACAACATCATGAAGCCAAGAATATATACAAGCGCAAGCATAAGCATAATGATATTTGTCATCAATGAATGGTCTTTAGTTGCATTAAAATATACCTTCTTAAAAATAGCTACTGTAAATCTGCAAGTACTCATCTATGGAAAGATAAATTTTACAGCATTTTTCATTTTCTTCTCGAAAGCAGAAAAGTTTTGTTCTTCCCAATGTTATGCAAAAGACATGATTCTGTTCTCTATGCACAGGTGAATGATGTCAAAGATGATCTGTCTCAAATTGGATTTGATATTGCAGCAATCCAACAGATGGTTGCTGGATTGGTGAGTTTTATTAGTTTATAACCCTTGAGCATGAACCTGTGTCAGAACACTTCTTTGGTTATCCTGACCTTTATGTTCTCCTTTGACATTATCAGGAAGGGAAGATCGAGTTGCTTGATAATAAACAGGTGGCTAAACATACCCATCAATATTTAACGTGCTGATTTTTTCCTTTTGCCTAACCTCTTGTGTTTACCGACAGGATGCAACTAATGCTGGTGTATGGTACCTCTGCCAAATAGCTGGAGGTCTAAAAGATGGAATAAATGCCAAGTTTTTTCAGGTGAGTAGATATCATTTATAAAGGTTCAGGATTGCATGCAAGGTCTAAGGATGCCTTATCTTGGATAGTTCGCTTTTCTTTTGGCTCATACTGCTCATTGTGCTGTAATGATCCTTCTATGCTCTCCATTCCACAGGAAGCTAATGAAAAACTCAAGCTCACAGAGTTGGCTCAGTCTGAAAGAAAGGCAGTGAAGGTAATACACAATTAATATGCAGATGTTTGTCCTCCATTCAGGTAATTTCGGTTTCTTTATGCCAATCCATATCTGTGTTGTGCACATTTTAGGGGCTTGAATCTGTTCTGGAGAGCAGAAAGGAACAAAAGGCAATCGACTCCAAACAAAATACCACCGCGATAATTGACGCCGAAAAGCCCGTGAAAACGGTCGATGGGCCTGTGAAAAGCGGCGCGGTGCACAGGTGTAGCAGAATCTCATTTCGGAAGGAAGGCCTCGCTTTGTGATCAAAGCAAAGCGATCGTAACCAGCCCGCTCTCGCGATGTACATTGTCTGCCTGATTGTTTTGTTCGATTAAAAAAAATATAAAATAAAACCTGTACCTGGAGTTATTTTGAGTAGGCAGGTTGATGCACTATTCTGATTCAAAAGTGTATGTGGTTCAATCCACGTACGCTCTTTTTCTTGGATTTTGATTCATGTGATCTCATTTATTTTTATTTGGTGTGAATGTTTGTACACAGTTGGTTCGAAACATTCCTTGTGCCATTGTGAGAGTTCCCTTCGGCCTGCATGCCCTTGTCCCATATGTCCATATCACCCTGTGAATGATGCCCTCTCCTTCTAGTCCAGATTTGCAAGCAGTCTGGAACTCTGGATGATCGGATTTTACTTGCAGACAGGCACAGGGCCACGGTAGTCCCTGTCCTGGATAAATTCTGCTCTGTTCGTGTACAACATTTTCTTGTTTGCTGCACAAAGTGTAAGCCGTGAAGCATAAACAGGATTACATGCACTAGTTACGTACACGGTGAAAAACATGGTCCTCACTCCTCAATGCCGTATGCCGTATGCCCGTATACACCAATTACTACACATGTACAGCAAATCATAGGTACTCACGAATCACAAGCTGGTGACAATCAGCACGGAAGAAGAGGATCTTCTCGCCTCCCTGGAATGAGATCCGTACCCCTTTACTAGCCAGGACGCGATAAGATGGGAGTATATATGTTCCTTTGGATGTCAGATTTGTCGGTTCCGTTTGCCTGTCGATCGTACGTACGACAGGTGAAAAAAAGAATCAGATCTTCCGTTTTTTTACAGTCGTCAAGCAGCTGCTTCTTGGGTTGCATTCTGTCACGGTGTCACCGTTGTGCCGATTCGAGTAAAAACCCTGTGTCCTTTGATATGGAAAGCCAAGGCGATCTAGCATGGGCCATGCCCTCATCAAACCGGATACGTATACGCCTCCAGAGACGCACACTGTACGTTGCTGTACTAACTGTACTGGTGTACGTGTACCTAGCGCATTACTCACACTATCCAAAAAAAAAAATCAATGTTAAAGAGGCGTGACTCCTCTACCATAAATTTAAATAGATGAAGAGATTTGTTGTATTAGAAGGGATCACATTTCTCTTCTAAGTTTAGTTTTTTTTAATAAAGTAAGCCATAGCCAACGTTTAAATTTAAATTATTCTATGTGTTTTTTATTGTCTTCTTTAGTCTTTGCCTTTAAATCCTCAACAGCATGTACAAGTCTAAAAATAAAACCTAACTTTTATTCCATTGTCACGCTTTTTTACGGGTTATTGACCGGAGCGAAATAATGGCGTACATCTTCTTCTCTTTCTTCTTTTTTCTTTGTTTTTTTTTTCAAAAAATGGTGAGTAGCTAGCTAGTTGTTAGGGTGATCACCTTTCTTCTTCGCCGTCGGTCGCTAATATAAAAGGTGGTTGGCTGATTATGAGACAGTCAAGATTAACAAGGCATGATAAGATACAGACTCTTAATAGAGGTATGGCCATTTCAGTTTATTCTTAATTGATGTTTGAGATATCGATGAAGATGAACATATTAGGTGTACTAACTCATGATCAACGCTGCACACTGACAGTCTGACAAAAGCACGGATCCCTATCAGTCCCAAATTAACATGGCCACGCATGGATCATCAAACCAAGGAGATCTTACGCCTACAGATGCAGGCAGAAAGTCAATGTGTTGCGCGAAGCAAGCCGCAGATTTTTGAAACAACAGTGCTAAGCTATAATTAACGAGGCCCATCTGACACAGAACACCACGAGATACTAGAATAATACATGATGGATTAAGAAATAATGAAGCAGCTGAGATGCATACAACCGAAGTATTCAAGGGCTAGCTAGCTATCTGAACGATCCAAACACTGTTAATATTTCATTTTGTGTATGTGTTTTTTTTACTGATATCATAGGAGTATCTATCCTAAAAGCTAGCGTCAAAGCTACCAACCATTCAAGTCTCGGACACCAATTCTCATGACATATATCTCGGTGCCAACAAAGTCAAAACCAGCAGCTCAACAACACAGGGGGCACATAGGATTAGATAGCTTGATTAAAGAAATCAATGGTGACGATTATAGTAGTAATAGTATAGTATGATAGTATGATGCTGTGTAAAGCTAGCTAATTAGCTAAACCATATCAAGTTGGAGTAACGATCCATCTTTGTTGCTGGGAGTAGCTAATTTCGCTGTGCCGCACGCATGCTCGGGAAAAAGAACGGATCCCGAGGCCACTGAATTCCGGACGGTTTGGTCAAATGCCTCTTTGGTTGGGCCTGAAGGTTTCCTACCAATGCCAAAGCGTGCAGCCATTGGCCATGGGAGTATTGGATTATGGCCGTGTTTAGATTTCAATTTTTTTCTTTAAACTTTTAACATTTTTGTCATTAGACACATGCATGGAGCATTAAATGTAGATAAAAAACAATTGTATAGTTTGCATATAAATCGTGTTATAAATCTTTTAAGCCTAATTACGTCATGATTTGATAATGTGATGCACAGTAAATATTTACTAATGACGGATTAATTAGGCTTAATAAATTCGTCTCGCAGTTGACAGACGGAATCTGTAATTTGTTTTGTTATTAGTATACGTTTAATACTTCATGTGTGTATCTGTATACTTAAAAAAATTTTGACACACGAACTAAACACAGCCTATATTGCTTCATAATGACACCATCATTATATATACTGATATGTGTGATAATAGGAGGTAGTGACCCACATACCAATGACTGTAATGATGCTGATGTTATGATAGATGATCCTCACCCGTATTGGACATAAGAGCAAGTTTAATAGTATAGTTAACTACTAGCTCCAATTCATCTATAGCCAATCTAATAGCTCATTCACACAATAGTTACATACTACACTATTAATACCTGGTCCCATCTGTCATACACACTGCGTCTTGGAGTCCGTGCTACAACTAGCTACAAATCTGTAGCCCGCTTCTCTTCTCTCATCTCATTTATCTTCTTAAAATATATTTGCAGCTGGTTTATAGTCTGCTATTATACCTGCTCTAAGCTTCACGGTCACAGTAAAAAAGAAGTTTCTTATTGGTCTATAGAGGCTCTTTGAAACAAACACAAGTATGTTAAAAACGCATAAGAAAGGGATAAATGTACGAGTAGAACGCCATTTCCAACTTGATCTATAGGACTCCAACACGCATAAATAATATTTGGAGCTATATATATGGAGCACATGATTTTCTTTAGAATTAGTTTATTTTCAATAGTAAGGAAAAATTCGTAAGAGCAGAGAGAGTGAGAGAGTGCATTGGGGTTATGATATGAAAAATTCCGTACGGAATGGAGGTATATAAAATAAACTTTTAGGATTTTGTCAATCATATTCTCTCGTGCAAAAGGACGATCTGAAAATTGAAAAAAAAAGAATGACCTTATAGAAAAAAATCCCAAGGATTGAAATCGTCCAAATTAAATTTCTGAAATTCAAAGGAGACCTAAAATTGTATACATGGCTCTAAAAGCATGTCCTAAATATAAAATTTGGTAGTACTATTTAAGAATTTGCATGCTTCATTTGGAAGGAAATTAGGTTTTCTTTAGGGTTCCTTTGGAGCGTATGAATTCAAAAATACAGAAACAGGAAAAATGTAGGAAGACGTGGCATACTAGCTAGTTGATCCATAGGAGTTTTAGAATGCAGAAATTGTGTGTAACTTGTTGTTGGATGCTCCATAGAAAAAGTATAGGATTTTGGGAGAGAGATAGACCTGAGAAAAGTTCTCATGAGATCCAACCCTCATGTTAAGGGCCACATTGAGGGCTCCTTCGGATTGTAGGAATTTTGTAGGAAATATGGATGATTTCAATTTGTATTGTATTTGGCACTATTCGCTTGTTTGGAATGAAGGATTTGGGCATAGGAAAGGTAGAGGGAAATTTTCCTTTGCTAGAGATTCCATATGAATTCGAACATCTACCAAGCCCTATTTTTTTGTTTTCATTTATTAGCTAAGTCCAAGCTAAATAAAATAATGAAAGCTCTAAAGAACCATAATTTGAGGATAAATTGACCAACGACATTATGATTCTTGTGTTTTACTAAGTTCATATTTGTTCTAAACAATCTATCTTACTCCCTCCGTACTCGTAAAGGAAGTCATTTAGGACAATGTTTAAATCAAACCATAGGAATATAAATCATGAATAACTCTCAAGTTGTTGAGTTTGAAAATATAAAAATTATATGAATAGATTTGTCTTGAAAAATACTTTCATAAAAGTATACATATATCACTTTTCAATAAATATTTTTATAGAAACAAGAAGTTAAAGTTGTATTTTGGAGACCGTGTCGCTGTCCAAAACAACTTCTTTTACGAGTACGGAGGGAGTATATTTTTCCTACATTTTTCATCTATGTTTTATATTTATACATGCAATCCTATACTCCCTCCGTCCTAAAAAGAGGGGTTTATAGGTTTTAGATTTGTCCCAAAGAGTGTCTTTTTAGTTGTGGGTCCACTAGACCTCTTAATACCATTTCATCCTTTTTATTTATATTCTGACTTTCTATAACAACAGTCTTATTGGATGAAGTTTTTTTTCTTATTTCTGTGTTTTAAAGGAGCCATAAATATATGATTTATGAAGGATGGCAATGACCCCTGCATGTACAAAGCACCGTACCGACACTAGAGCTAGGGCATCCCTTTCAAATTTCAATTCGGAGCTTTTTCTCTCATGTCATTATCATGAATTCGTTGATTGCCAAAGAGTTAGATTCTGTTCACGGTACAATATACCACGTGGGATAAGGCTCCAAATGCTCACAGGCTCACAGCAAGATATATGGTTTTTACCCCCTAACTATGATTAGATCAAGTGATGCTATTTTGGTGTAGCCTTGAGATTAAATTGTAATCCTGGTGTAGAGACCAAAAGTAGTTATATACCTTCAATCCTTCATTATTAGAAAAAAAATGCAACTAAATTGAATATATACGCGTATTCGTACAATGTATTACTCGAGTATGCAGTTAAAGAAACCACTCTAATGGAAAGGATTCAGAAAATTTTGGAGAGCAGGCAACATTCAGCAAGCAGTACAGAAGAACACAGCAGAATTGTGTCCAGGCCTAGGCGCCTAGATACTCATGCACTAGAATGAATATATAATCAAAATCAACAAGTACCATTAGGTTGGAACTTGGAAAGAAAAAGAATTGCATCAAAAGGGTGCAATAATAGAAAGTACGA